AGGTACTAAGGGCATATTATCAGGCGCTTTGCTGATAATATCTTCTTCCATTTTCTTTGCAGATTTACAGCATCTTTCTTTTCTCCCTCTCTGTCTTTCTCTGTTTCCTATATATTCCACAATACAGAACAAGGTGGCGCAGTGATATACAGTGAAATTGCAAAAGTTTGTTTGGAATCTGTAGAGAATGATAGTGCCATTTAGGAAAATACCTGATTTTAACTTTCTCTCAACAAAGTTTCTGGAAAGGCCAGGAAAAGATATGGCCTTGGGAAGATAACATTGTGAGAAGGCCCTGCCAACTTCTGTGAGTGAGGGATCACAAGTGCACCATAAATGCAACATGTAGAGAAGGCCTCGCTTCCTCTGGCAGAACACAAGGAAAAACTGCCATCTCCCCCCCTCGTATGTTTACTATCCATGGCCACAATTGTGGTGGGGGGCGGGGGGGGGCTTTTAGCTTGCATAAAAGTGGCTCAGATTTAGCCTTTTCCTGTGCTTCTCATCCCCTTGCCAACAGCCCTTCTGCTCTCTTGTCTAAGCCAGGGGCCTGTTGGATGGCAGCTCCCATCAGCAAGGACTAGCCCAGGGGGCCAGGATGATGACACCAGGGAGTCCACCAGCATCTGAAAGCTGACAGGTTTCCCAGCCTTGGTTATAGAGAAATTCCTGTCAGAATGCTATGCAAGCTGGATACATGTCAGAGGCCAGAACTTATCCTCGTTTAAACCCCCTTTTCACAAATCACAATAGGCCTGGGCTTTGGACCTCTTTCAACCTGAGGGCCAAATCCAATTTCAGGTAAGCTTGAGTGGTGTGTGGGGGGGGGGGGGGAGGCAGAGGCATTCTAGTGGCAGGCAGGAGCGAAGGCAAGAGGAACATCACCAGAATAATTTAAAAATATCAGCAAACTTTAAGCATTCAGTGCCTTTAACTATGCTGTAAGAGAGGCATTTCAGCCTTTTGGAATGGGAAAAAAACTGCACAAAACCTGGGATAACACCAAACAGTTGGGGTGGGAGGGAAAGGGAATAGAACTAGGAGAAATGGTGAGGCCCTCTGAGATGTTGCAGCAGGTTGGATTTGGCCCCTGGGCCGAGGTTATGCACCCATGCAGCAAACACACACACAAGGAGACCCAGAAATAGGACACACATCCTGTTGTCAGAGGTTATAATAATGCCCAAAGCTGCTTTTAGGGTGCCAGGCTATACTGAAAACCCACTGCCCAAAAGTATAGTTATACAAAAATTTTGCTATGCAAATATTACATAAAATGGTTCCACTGCAGCCAAGAATGAATAGGTTTAAACGTGTGTGTGTGTGTGTGTGTGTGTGAGAGAGAGAGAGAGAGAGAGAGAGAGAAATGTGTTCCCAAAAGTAGATATATCACACATTTAAACCATCTCTTCTTCCACCCCTTCAAGGGAGGATTGAACGCTTGTTCTTGCAGGAACAGGCTGGGCCTCTTGGTCTGTTCATGACCAATATGCTGCCTTTGTTTCCTGCATTTGTGTGCTGTTCTCCACTTTCAGCTAGGCTCTGAAGCAGAATTTATAGACCTCCTCAACAAAATGATATAATAAATGTATCACTAAGGGCTAGCTTGGACTTGGCTACCATCTGGTGTTCAGTAGATGCTATGATCCCTCTGTTCTTTCTGCTGTGAAGGTAATAATGCTGTCTTTTTTCAGCAGAAGCTACTCTCATGGGAGTGGGAAGGTTTCAGGTTATGCAGAGCTTTTATGCAGATGGAAACAAGTCTGACTTGCTGTTCTGTACAGTTTATTGGTTATTAACATGTATCTTTCTTGATTCCAGATGTGTGGTGAGGAAATCCGCAAGGGTTTGGTTGGTGCTGTTCTTTCATTTACACATGTGTGTGCACACACACACACACACCATGTGAGGTGGATGGGCCCATGAAAAGGCTGTGTCACCATCAAGCAATTACGTATTACAACAACTAGCTAAAGGGCTGGGCCATCAGTGGTGCCACCAGGACCAGACCTTGCAGCTGAAATCAGTAGCTCTCTACTACAGTGAGTCAGTGGCCCTCCACTGGTTGATTGGACTTAGTACTTCCCATCTGGAGAGTCCAGGCTGGGCACAGAGCCGCTTCCTTATACCATTCATCCATTTAGCCCAGTATGGTCGACAATGCCTGACTGTGGCTCTCCGTCTGCAGGCAGGGCAGGATCTTTATTTATTTAGTTATTGCTGTTCCAGCTGCAAATGCCAGGAATTAACCTGAGACCTTCCACAAGCAAAGTATGGGCTTTATCAGTGAGCTCCAGTGCCTTCCAAAAGAATGCTATAACCTGGGGGGGTAACTAATGCCTCCTTGTAGATGTGGGTGGCTGATGTTAAGTAGTGAAAGGCTTACTTTCAGGCTGAGTACAAGGCCAGGAGTCAACGCATGAGGGAAGAGAATCATACCCTTTTTCTGCCTGTTGTGCAGCCCACTTGCCTAGACTGACTGAGGTTTGAATGCTCGCTCTTGCAGGGTGGGGTGTCTGGGCCTCCCTTGTGTAAGTTTCAGCGGAATCTGGTGGGTCCCGATGGGAGAGAAATGCTTAGACATCAGCTGTCTGGGGCCTCTTCTGTTCTTTGAAGGGCACTCTGAACAGGCATCTTTAAACTTACCTAAACTTACCTGAAACGGGGGTATAGTTAGTGAAAGATCTGGCAAATTACCTCCGCACAACAAATTAGGCTGATCAAGACCGGCTTATACTGTTAAATTTCCTTCAAACTCAGAGGGAGACTCCAAACACAGGAAACAAATTAACCTTGATGGCATCATTGCATCACTGATCCTGGATGGAAGACAACATGGCCCAGGAAGAGGCACGATCTTTTTTCTCTTATTTAAAGCATGTACACACAAGCCACTAAACTATGCATATGGCTCATTTTCAGCAACCCCTTGGAGTCCATTCCTTCTGGTTCTGCAAATTCTGCTTCCTACAGAAGGCCATTCACATGACAGAAATGTTTGGAGAATGTGGGTTTTCTTCGCACATTTTATCTCCCTCTGCCTTGTCCAATCTCGAATCGTTAACTGTTCCTGGCTTCCTGGGGCAACCCGTTTTCATTCAGGAGATCCTCTCACTTCACGGCCTTCTTAAATTAACAGCAGGCACAGGCCCACCACCCCTGTTTTACAGAGCTGCAACTACCATGCTTGGGTCTGCCTGGATTCCAACCTCTGATCTTGGCACTGGGAGAGAAACAGTCCACCTCGCTGAATGATGGAGGATTCTGACTCAGAGAAGGGAGTCTGTGTAGGAAGGGGATGGTCAAAACCTGCTCCCTTCACAGGGTCTACAGGAAGAAGTAAAAGACTCATCCATTCTCATTTAGCTTGGTTGAAGTAAGGTGGGTGTACCTGCATGGACCAATCTGCTGCATCGTTTATCACTACCCTCTCGGTGGGACAACTGCAGCGGAAGAGAACCAGAAAGACTTGCCCATGGCCTCGAATGCAGCCATACTTGGTGGGAAGCCACCACTTTTCCCCATGGAGGGGAAGGTCTTGCCCCAGCAGGCCCTTTCCTCCCCTGGCAGCTACTTGTTCTCCTCACTTGCTCCCCAGACAGACTCACCCGCTAGCCCAGCTTCATTCAGTGATCTTTGTGGTCAAGTAGGGAGCCAAAACCTCCCTGGATGTATTCCAGCACTAACTACTCCGTGATACCTTGGCTCTTTTTCCCATTGTCTTTTTTAACCCTTTGTGGATATATCAGCTGTGACATTCAATAATGCCTTCCTAGTTTATGTTCCAAGAATCAGGAAAGCTGCAGAGGGGCACTTCATAGGCTCTTCAAGGGACAAATTTTCCAAAGACAGAAAGACTGCAGTTATGTGTCAAGGTAAAGAAACGATGCTTATTAACTTTTACCAGTGAAGCCTAGTTGAATGGTAACAGTTTGCAGTCTTCAACTTTACCATATTTTATTTACATTTTGTATTGGTAAACCATCCAGAGACTTCAGTAATGGGACAGTCTAGAAAAGTTTTAAATAAATAAATTTATTTCTTAACCACTCAATAGCCAAAGGCATATGCAAACATGACTGCATGTTTCAGTATTAAACTTAATCTGGAATTTGCAAACTCCTTTAGCAGATTTAGATTTAACATGTAGAGGTACACCAGTAACTCTATTTTCCAGAAATAAATGGTAAAGAAGCCCTTCTTGTTAAAGGTGCTATTTTATAAACATAATTATGTAAGGAAGAAATTAAGATTTTAGATTTGTGTTTCATGGTTTTTATTCCATTTCAATACAAGGTAGAGTAAGAAAACCCGTTCAGGCTGCAAGTCTCTGTACATTTACCTTGGAGTAAGAGTCAATGGACACTTAAAGTAAAGGTACATGGAATCATTATGCTATCAGTCCTGTGTACAAGTCAGCAAAAGTCACACACCTTCCCTTACGTCACCAGTGACCACAGCAACCTTGTCTTTCTTGAAGGGCCCACTCCAAGCTGGTCTGGAGCTCCAGTGGTAGAAACCAAATCTACCAGCATCCTGCCACTGGTAGTCTTGGGGGCGGGCAGGCAGGGAGTTTGGCTCACATACTGATGCTTCAGACAGCTACAGTACTATTTTCCAGCTGACTCTGAATCAACCAAAAGCTTTCCCTTTCCCCTACTAGGGACTGCAAAGATTTAAAAAGAAAACAGTACACTGATCACTTTCCTCAGAGTTCTTGTGTTATAACAGAAAGATTCTGGTTCATTAAAAGGCCTACTGAAAATTAAGAGTTTGGCTGTAGTCCTGTCTTTAATATCTTGCCCCAGCTTTCCACCTGCAGCCAAAAAGTGACCAAGCTCTGCCCCCACAAAGATTTACCAAAACAACAAGCAGCATTTGCATGCAGAACACACCTGTAACAAAATTTAGACAAGCTGGGGCTGCTTGTTGGAAGGCCTTGCTAGGAAGCCTTCTGATCTAAGGAATGAGTTGTTAGCAAATGATTACCCTCATTAGGATACAGTAAAGTTATTTTTATTTTTTTAAGAAAAACCTTTTTACACACAGTTAATACAGTGATAGTGTACAGTTTTTATAGCAGTAACTTGCAGGTCAAAGAGGCACGGATTCCGTTCCCTACGGCCAGCCTTCCCTTGGCACAAGTACCAGGCACTTCTTTCCACCAAGCACCACATGCTTTCAGGCAAGAGGGGGGGTTTCAGCTCCCGGCTCCCCCAGCCAAGACAGATGGGATGTCTGGTCCTGGTGAGACTTGCTAGTGGTCAGAAAGTGGGATCCAAGGGTAGCAGCTGCGGAAGGCTCTAAGTCACCAGGCTGGCAAAGAGGAATGTCAGTGCAGCCCCTGTGCAGATGGGCGCCTGACGAGCAGTGTCATGGCTCAGGCCTTGATGAGGGTGAAGACCTCTTTCCTTCCGTGAGTGGTGGGGAGAGAGGTGCAGAGATGGGTATAAAGTGCTGTGAAAGAACAAGAGCAAGAAGCATTTTAAGGATTTCTTATTACTAATTTGCTAGTTTTATTTTTTTGTAGTCAGAAGGATGTGAGAGCCGATGTGTGCTTTATTGTATTTGGTGTGTTCAGTTTTGTAAACCACCCAGAAAGCACTGGCTGTTGGGAAGCAGAGAACTGGAATGAATGAAGTGGACTTGTGCACCTTGTAAATATGTTTCCTTGAACATTCCACCTAGAACAGATTGAAGTCAGATGCCCAGCTTTTAAAGGGATCCCTTTCAGCTCAAGGAATGGATTCCATTTCAGAACACATTTCAGTGGCAGGTAGGACTAAAGGCAAAACAGGCAAGGCCAACACATTAGGATTTTAGTTATGCCACCAGTAAGCAAACTGTAGGAGTGCTTACATGCTTTTCAGAATTCCAAACAAAATGGTATAAAAACCAGGAGAACACAAAACAATCAGCACTCAAGGTGAGGGCTGGAGGAGCCAAGGGAAGCAGGACCACCTGGGAACCCTGGAAATCCAGACTGGAAATCCATGAGGACTGGATCTGCCCCTGGGCGTGAAATTCCTCACCCACACTTCAGCATTATAGCTGAAGTAAAATTAGGAATGTAGTGTTTCACCTTTGGCTCTCAATGTCAGCAGCCGCTATTATAAATCTAGGACAAAATGCTTTTATGGAGTTAATGCTTTCGTGCAGCATGGGTTTAGACAACCATGTACATCAGTTTATATATGCAAACCATAAGTTTTTTGTGGCATAAGCCTGTCTTAAAAGGGAAAAAAAGTGCTATACAAGGAGTTTTGTTTGCCGTAGAGAATAGTTCTGAACCTACCCTTTCCAATAAATGTTTTGGTGTGCGTGTGCTCAGATATATATGTATGTGTGCATTTATACCACCTGCTTTTACACACATGCACAAACAGAAGAAAAGTGGAATAAATATGGAATACACTGAAGGGCTCCACCTCACAGACTCGTTAAGCCCATGAATCTGGATAGAGGAGGACTGGCAGGCAGGGACCATCCATACTACGAACCCCTTACAAAAAATGCAGGGTGAAATTCCAATCTGGAGCTGGGAAGCAGGTTCTCTCCACTTGGGGAGGCTGGGGCTGAGGAGGCCTCGGGGGACCAGCAGGACCCCCAGCCTGGGACCACATGCAGCAAGGGGGCCACTGCAGAAGAGGCGAGGGCCAGGGCACAGCCGCCTACCACCGCTGGGAAGAGACGGCAGCGGGTGATTGTTGTTGGGGGGTCCCTGCTGAGGGGCACTGAGACAGCGGTGTGCTGCCCTGACCTTGAGGCAAGGGTCTGTTGCCTGCTGGGCGCACGCACCCGGCATGTGAAGGATAGTGTGGAGCATCTTGTTCACTCCGGGGATCACCAGCCACTTCTTGTGATCCATGTGGGGACAAATGACGTAGCCAGGCAGGGTGTGGGTGGGTTCACCAGGGACTTCAAAGGCGCAGCCAAATGTAGATGACTATTCCCCGAGCAGTCGCTCACTGTGGCCTCCCATGCTGCCAACTGGAAAGCCAGCCTTCAAAAATGTTCTACTAACCGGCAAGAAGGGTTTCCCCCATGGCATCTCATCAGTTGGAAATCCAGGGAATAACCAAGTTCCACTACTTTGCAAAACCTTACAGACCAGTAACTATGGCATCCTAGGATACAACCGTTTTATGAAAATGGGATCATCAAGGTTTTTCAAGCCCAGCCTGTGCTGGAATATTCCTAAGTGCAGCACACCTCTTTGTTCCATAGGTCTGAGCGTATCGAGACCCTGCAGTCTTACCATGGCCTCCTGAGCGTCCAGCATCGCTGCCACAGGCTCCTTGCACCGCTGTACTGGGGGCTGGGTGGCAGAAGGGATGCGGGCAGTATAGACGGCGCACTCATCGTTGAGGCAGGCCTCGTGGAAGCGCTGAGGTGCACCGAGCAGGGCACGCAGTTGCTGCTTGGCCTGGCCTGCTGGAGCAAGGAGAACAGCCGGTGGCACATGGGTGGTGCCACAGGCCAGCAGGAAGTCAGGAGGAGAGGCAGAGCCTCTCTCTGGCTCTCTCTTTCCCATTCCTTAAGGCTCAAGGCCAAGTCTGTTGTGTTTGCCCAGGCTTTTAATAAGGACTGGAATAGCACAAATCCGAAGTTCATTACTGTTCATTTACTCTTTTGAAAGTTTCTATAGTTATCCTTATTGCATTTATAATTCATACCTTGCAATCCAACTTGAAAACTACGTGGAAAGACAAGGTGTTAATTTTTTTAAACACATTCCCCTAACACACTAGTTTTCAAAACCAGCAACAATCATTTCCTAAAGGTGTTTCCCTCGGTATCCTATACACATACCCAGGAGTCCTTACAACCAATCCTGTAAGGAGGACCAGTAGCATGACAGATCGCCAAGAGGAGCCACCGCAAATATGACAGATGAAGAGGCAAAACTGAAGGCTCGTGGCCTTCCTAATGCAATGTAGCCCCGTCATGGCTGAGGCACCTGCTTTCAGCCTTGCCCTCCACTTGTGAGCCAAGGAGATGCCAGCTCAATATGCCAGGCCACATCTGTGTGGCAGCAGGCACACTGTGCAGCAACTAGGACCGAGCAGGGGTGGGGAACCTGTCTTCCCAAAGTTTTGGCCTACAACAACTCCCACATTCTCTCACCATTAGCTATGCTGGCTGGAGCCGCAAGGAGTTGTGGCCCTCCAGAGATTCTGACCTACAAGTAGCTTTCTGCTGTTCTAAACCTTCCAGGGGTGCTTCCAGATGAGGTTTTTGTGGCACCATCACCCAGAATTTTGTGGGCGGCTCCAGACGACCCTGTCTTCACTACCTAGCTCTCCCATGTCTTTCCACCACACCTTCCATCTTTTATCTATTTATTTAGAGAACTTCTATGCCACCCCTGCAGCAGAATATCTGTTACAGAAGAAATGCTGGAAGAGCTCCACAGTGCCTTCCGATTGTCAGTGCTAGGACTCCCTCCACCAAGGAGTACACGAAAGCGTGGGAACCCAGGCATCCCACCCCATCTTACCCGTACGGCTTGCATGGCATGGAGGTGGCTGAAGCGAAGGCAAGGAAGGGCAGGGGCAGGCAGGGAGCTGGCTGGAGGTGGTGGCCATGGCAGGAGATCCCGGTGCTGCTGCAGCCGTGGACACCGGGGCCAGCTCACAGGCGTTTGATCCAGGATCCTGCTGAGGGGCAGCGGGCAGGCCAGGCGTGGGTGACTCCTGAGCAGGCAGGCAGTGAGCCAACAACAGTTTGTGCAATCCTTCCAGTGAAGGGGCAGCATCACAATCAAGAACACCATTCATCTCCTTCTGCAAGAGTTGGGCCAGGAGCTCAATGCGCTGGGGGAGAGAAGAGAAGAAAGGGTGACGGTGGGGCAGACAGCCACAATCGTTACAGTCCAAAACATTTGGAAGGCACCAGTTGGGAAGATATCCTAGATCCTGAAGCCAAACTGAATCATATACTTTCCCCCAGCATTGCGAGTTACCCAGCATTCCCTATTTTGCATCTACAGCAATATTTCAAATCTGCGCGTCTTTGGCGAGAGCTGGATTAAAGGAAACACATGCACACAGGCACACCCACCAGGAGGCGGGAGGAGACATTTTCAGGCTTCTCTGCAACCAGAAAGCTGGAGGGCCACACATCTGTCCACTGCTGCCTTGCAGCCGGGTTCAGCCATTCTGCCTCCACAAAACCGCCTGCTTGTCCCACTATGTTTAGTTCCATGATGATTCCCACTTCTTGCCATGTGGGTTTGGTCTGCCCTGTAAACTTGCTGGAGCAGCTTCACCACCTCTCAAGTTCACAGACCCAGGAGTCACTCAATATACTAGAATTTGCAAGTAGCATAGGCTACAAAGCAGCATCCTCTTCCAGCCCAGGAGACAAACTCAATTTGGAGAAGCTCCCAGGGGCCACAGGCTAGTGGTGGAGGAGCTAGAATACCAGCATATCACTGCTAGTAAACGAAGACTTAGGAGAAGCTTCATCAAGTTCACCAAATATGAGGACAGCCACGTAAAAACCGAGAAACAACCACATAACTGGGGAAGGAGGTGCAAGGAATGGGCCTGGCTGCCTGGGAAAACCCAGCAGGTCTGATCCGGCCCGTGGGCCAGAGGTTCTGCACGCGTGCCAAAAAGGGATGAAAGGCATTCCCTGCTACCCTCCCGCAAGCCTCCATTTCCTACTTGGAGCTTTTCCATGCCTGGGGGGATCACAGGAGCAGCGTGTGCTTTCTTCACCGACCCTGCCATCTCGTCATCAAAGAGCCGCACAGCGATCTTCTCCTGCAAGGAGAAAAATGCCATATTACTTCTGTGGCTAAGCCCACACAACGCAAGTTGCCACGAAGAGCTGGCCAAGAGGAGGAGGAAAGATGGAAGGCGGTCCTCTCTGCCACCTGCCTGAAAGTGGCTGACTGTTCCCAACAGGTCTTCAAGGACAGGAGCACTGATCAAAGGAATGAATCGAGTTTGTGAAGGCTCTGGCTAAGGGGCAGTTTTGGACTCCTGCTGATTTAGTTCAGAAGTATAACAAGCCAAATTACCGAGAAACAGCATGCTGCATCTGGCTGAGCTGAATTAATTAAGTCAGCAGCTGATGCAAATGGTGCATCAGTGTCTGGATGGCCAGAGAAAAACCAGGCACGGATGAGGGACGAGTCAGAAGGGCTGTGGGACTGTGTGTGTGTGGAAGGCATGCCGCTTGCTCCCCACACGGCCACTCACCCAGGGCACAGCAGTGCTTTCCTGCTTGGCGCTCACCGGGCCCACCTTCGGGGTGGCCCCGCCTGTCCTCTTAACCTGGGAAGGACAAAACGGATGTTAGCACACTCCATGGCTGATGTCAAAAGCCACCCTTATCCCAGCCTGACATTTCTTTCCAACTCTACAGCTGTGTTTCTTTAAGGATGAAGAAAGGGAATCAAAGGTTAGGAGGAAGAGGGAAACTATGTGCATGTGTGTATAGTCATTGACAGCGGTGTGTACAAATAAATACATGTCCACTGTAACTCATGGGACTGAGAACCCTCCTGTTCCCTGCTCAGAAGTCAGCAAAGGCATATTTTCCACACAGCATAGTGCGCCATCTCTACAGTTTGGAACAATTGGAAGACTTCATAATCTTTTATTAAATAGGGTGTTGCCAATTCTCCTTCCATGACAGATCTGTATTTCAAGCTATTTATAAATCTTAATTTTTTCTGATTTCCTGAAATAAATTCCTCTCCCCCTACTCTTTTTTTGCCGCACCTTTAACTTATTCATTTCCAGTTGCAGTGGTAGACTGCAACATTTAAAAAACGTTGGCAGCATATGAGCTTTAATCACTGCTATTCTCCCTAATAACTTTATCCCATTTCTTAATTTTCTCTCTTATCTTGTTATATATGTATTTATAATTTGTATATGTCAATTGATTTCTACTTTTTGTTAACCAAATTCTCAGATATTTAAAACTAGACTAGCACAAGTCTAAACCTGACATCGCTTTAATCTCCCTTTGTTCCGATATAGCGATATGGATTTGTGGCTCCTCCAGACTGTAGTTTCCCTCTTTTTGTACACTTGATGCTGCCAGGACAGGCCCTCCCATGAAGGGCCACAGCTTGCAGGAGCAGCTCTCCCCTTCCAAGTGCTCCCCCAGTGCTGCCACGAGGCCGGCTCTGCGGAGAGCCCCACCAGCTATTGCCCCGGCTGTAGCATGTCCCCCAGACGGAGAAGGGCACCAAGGCTGTGACTGCAGAAGCCCCGGAGCGCTCCGACAGCTCTGCTCCCCATTACAGTCAAGGCCACAGAGGAAGCACCACCAGCACAGCTCCCCAGAGCAGCCATCTGCCCGTGAGCTTGCTCCAAGGATCCTCCCGGGGGCACCCGGTGTATGGAGGGCCTCTCTGAAGACTGTATTGGCCAAGAAAGATGGTCAGCCCACCCTGGCCAAGCCAAAATGCCTCGCTCTGTGGGGTCCTTCCTCAGGACTAGCATCGAGGGGCACGGGGGAGAGAGCAACAGCTGTAACAACACTGGTGGCAATGGGGAGGTGGAGAGGAGAGGCAGAGCACGATGGGTGGGAAGCCGGTGAAGGCACGCCCGTGTGCTCCCACCTCAGGTGGCAGGAGGGGACTGGCTGGCCCCGGATATCACCAGGCGCCCGCAAATGTAGATCATCTACGGGTACCACTCCCGCTTGTGACAATCTGGCAGGCCAAAACAAGATGCCTACTTAGAAACAGAGGTCTGGTTTGCCACAAAGAGTTTTCTGATCCTCCCCTGCTTTGCCTGGCACTCAGCAGTCAGTGGGAGTCAAGGAGGCCTCCAGCCTGCAGTTCATCTCTCAGCTGCTACTTGCTGCAATGACAGTGTCCCCAGAGGAGCAGCCTAGGGACTCTCAGATGTCCAAACCTGTTTCCAGTGGCTAGCCATCCGCAGCACATTTGAGAAAGCCACAGTCCGCCCACCTTCTCCGATTCTGATGGATGCAGAGTACCCACCCTTTTGTCCCCCATGCAGGAAGAAACGGGCATCCGGTTGCACGACCAGGGACTGCGATGCTGGTCCAACATAAGGAAAAGGTTTCAGAGCATGAGCAGATACTCAGTGAACTGCATGGTGCAAAACTTGGAGGAGGATAAAACTAACAACTTCAGGTGGGTTCATAGCTCAGTGGTAGAGCACATGCTTTGCCAACCTGAAGCTTCAAGTTCAGTTCCCGGCATCCCCTATTAAAACGATCTTAAGCAGCAGTGCAAAAAAAGTACCCAAGACTCTAAAAGCACAATCCTATGCAAGTATGGACCAAAAAAAGCCTACAGTGCCCAGCAATGCTCCAGCCAGCGGAGGATTGTACCCTGAATCAGAGCAGACAGTACTGGACTTGATGGACCGATGGGTTAGTTCTGCTTAAAGACGTTTCCTTACATTCTTTTAAGAAGAGTTTCTACCTCTCTCTGCTTTTTCAGTCCAAGAATTTCCAGGGTGGCTTGCAATAAAGTCACTAAGCAATATGTTAAAGCAGAGCTGATACAAACAGCTCATAAAAAGTAATATCATCATTAAAAGCTGTTATTAAAACCATGGTTCTATTATCAGGCAAAAGGAAGTGCTGCCTTTGCGCTTAAGATGCAATATGGGGGAGGGGTTGCCAAGCAGGCACCTTCGGGGCCAGTATGCCCTGAGCAGGGTGCCGTCACAGAGCAGGCAGTATTCACAGGGGGTATCTGCCCAACTTCTGGATGCAAAGGCACCCAGAGAGAGGCCCCCAAAGACAACTCTGATACAAGTCCGTCTGGGAGCAGGGAGATACTCTTGGTCTCAGGCAGGCAGGTTTTTAATGGATCAAAACCAGTGCTTTGGAGTTGGCTCCTGGAAACAAAGAGGAAGCTGACAAAAATGCTTTCAGTACTGGTGAGATGCCTCCAGTAGGGATGCAAATCTATTATTTCCAGGCTGTTAAGCCCAGGACAATGGAGTACAAGAGGGGGAGCCCTCAACTCCCAGGCCATAACAGCCCTAGCTTCCTACCCCCACCTCCCAGGGAACCCAACGCAGTGTCAACCCGATTTGGGGTTCCCCAGGATCTGCCCACAGCAGCCTAGGAATCATGTGCACAATTTTCAGCTCAACATTAGTGACAAGCTGAGGGCAGTTTCCAGCGTCTCCCCTCTGGAGCACAAACCAAGGACTGTGGGCAAGCAATGGGCACTCTCCTAGCGAGTCCGTAGGGTGAAGAGTCGACAGCAGAGCATCTGTCACCAGGTGTGCCAGCCAGCTGGTCTCCAGGTGCCTCTGACTTCTCCAGACCTGGGTAATGGCACAAAAAGAAGTTAGAAAATCCTTGTGGTAAGTCAAGTCTTTTGATAACAGGGAACTGGAAGCCTTACATGATCCCCAAAAGGGACACGCTCAGCAACCTAAATCCACAAAGAACCCTTCTGTAAATTATACCTTTCAGGCCCTGTGTGGAACGACAGGACAGCCGTCCGAACTTTCCTGCAGAGGATGCACTCATGTGGGAGAGCCGTGGAAAGGAATTTTCTCCCTAGCGAAGGAGAAAAGATCAGTGCTCGCCTGTCAGCAGTACTCCTGCCCTCAGGAGGCCCGACGTGTACACAGGCACTCTTGCGGGTTTTCCAGGGCTGGTCCTCGCATGCAAGGGCTGAGGGGCCACCCAAGAAAGCACTTTCGGCAGAGGGAGCAGAAAAGGCCGGCAGGCACAGAATCCTGAGGCTGGCACAAGGCGGAAGACGTACGGCCATGTCCGCCATATATCTCCAACTCCGCTGGATTCCTCTCCTTGACCCATAGCACAGAGATGGGGCAGTGGAGCCCGGGCTCCAAGGAATGCAGTGACCAGGATGGCATCGTCCTCAAATTTCCTTGTTGTCACAGAGCTTGTCTGCAACCCCTATAGGAGCTGGGGGGAAATGCATTTCCCCAGCAACATGCTGTTCTCCCTTGAAATGCAGGGTATTTGAGGGGCCACTTGGACTCATATGGGCAATCAGAACCTATTAGCTTTGCAGAAGACATGCTCCTGTAGAGATAACAGAATCGATTGTCGATATCGACTCTGGGGGCTGCATGGAGTGCCTGCACCCCAAGGTGCACCACCGACCAGAAGACTTTCCAGTGCAATTTTCTGTCAGGCAAAATGCTTTACACCTGGTCTGCCTGAACCACAGCTGGTGCTGAGCTCTCCAAGTTTTTTCTTCTTAATTGCTATATTATTATTATTTATGTATGTTTTATGTATTCTTTGTGAGCTGCCCCGAGGCTTTGTTGCAATGGGGGCGGCATAGAAATGTTTTAAATAAATAAATAAGTGGGTCCCATTCATGAGCTCGCAAAGCAGAGGAGGACTATAAGCCTTTGTTTTTGACGCTCAAACATGCCGAGCCACCATGCGCAAGAGAGCCACTTTTGCTAAAAAGAGGGGGGCACAGTTCTCGTCAGGACACCAAAACGTCAGGTCTCCACATTCAAGGGGCCCTTTTTACAGACCAAAATGGCACCATCCACACACCAGGGAGAACACCAAGCTTTGCTGAAATGTGGGAAAGGCATGACAGAGTGGGAAGTCCTCCCGATTCCAATTCGCATGTGCACTGGCAACCGAAAGCTGAGGGGAGCTTTTGCGGAGGGGGCAGTGAGGAGGAGACCTGTGTGGGACAAGGAAAGGAGCAGCATTTCCTGGGAAGGGGCAGGACTGATGGTCTAGATCCTGAGCTGCCCTCCACACTGCCAAATTTTATGGCCAGTCCCATTTCTTATGAACTTTTCCAGAATGCTCATGGACACCTTTAGCCATGTCAGACTAGGCACCATTCTTATGTTCATCCCAGCAACAGATCAGCATCCCAGAAACTAGAAGAGGGTAGCAAGTAGGTCTATGCCACACAAGTGCCAAAACCAAACGGACGCCAAAACCAGCAGTCCATTTCCATGGTAACTGGTGCCTGGTGGTCGAGGGGGGCGTGTGGAAATTAAGGCTTTGCACGCTGCTCACCATCGTGCTGCCCGAACTGATGGGTGGCTTCCGAGCATCTTTCACAGGCACCCGCTGGGCCAGGCTCAGCTTGCCGTTGGCTCCCAGCGCTGAATGGCTCAGGCCTATGTTCAGCAGGATGCTGGCTTTGGCAGCTCGATCTGGTACAAACGCTTCACCTGCAAATAGGAGGGGTAAGAGGAGGCGGCAAGACTCCACACTAGCTGAGCTGATCCTAGGCTATCCCAAGGCAATCCAAGAACCCAGCACATCAGAATCTTTATCAGCTAGGTGTGACTCCATGCTTCGCTCTGATCCAGGCAAGCTTTCTTGGTGAAGCCGCCACTACAGGGCAGTAAGTGAAATGCCAGTTGAAGACAAGAAGGAAGAGGAAGATAGGTGGAGTATAAGTAAAATGGAAGAAAAGGAAGAGGACTGAGCATGGTTATGGGAATGAACACAAGCACCATCATTTTGTTTTGTTTTGGACTGTTCTGGAAAAAGATGCTATCAGGTTTAATATCAACAACCTCGGGGGGTAAGAATACAAGCCAGTTTATATGCTGAGAAGGAGAGAGAGAGAAATGTAGCAAAGCTGGTGCTAGAATCCACCCCTCCAGCCTTCATCGGCTTCCTCTTGGGCTTGGCCTGCCCTTGCAAAGTAAGCCAGGACAAGAGCAGGCCCACAAACCCTTGCAGAACAAAGGCTGCACAACTGGCAACCTTCTTCCACATCGGGCACAGCAGCACAAAGGCTGCTCAAGGTGGCATGGAAGAGGGGCTTTGCTTGTGCAACGACTGCACAGGGCTCTGTTCCTGGCAAACCCCACATGACCAAGCTTCTTCCACATCAGGTGCAGTTCAGACAGTGGCTTGGATGTGGCAGAAGATGGATGCTCCGGGCAGTCGTATGGGGCTCTGTTCTCGGCCCATTTGGGCTGCTGCACCTGATACAAAGGAGGAGCATTGCTTGCGCAGCGCATGGAGGCTCAGTGCCTGGAGAGCATCCTGCAAATACTGGGCACACTTGCCAGAAATTTGGACTCAAGGATGCTGCAAAGTGGACTCCGGGCCAGGGAGGTGAACCCGAGGAATCTCATGGATTCCCATCCCCGAAAAGATTCCTCACACACCTCTGGCTGTCACTCACCTTGCCATGAGGTGTCCGCAGTGTCCTTTCTCCCAGATGAGCTGCTGTTTAGGAGCAGAAAGCAACACAACACTGTAAGCCTCAAATTGCTGGATTGAGTGAACATGGTCCCTACTGCTAAGATGCCACAACTAGCCTCCACTGCGAATCTATGCTGGAATGCATCACTGAAGTGAGCAGTGGCGGGAGAGGTGTATTTTGGGAGGACAGAAGTAGCAGTAAGCATTCCTATTCTCTCCTGTCCTGCTGAAAAATGAGGTTGCTTCCAGCAGTAGGAGCATCTGGCCAGCCTGCGTCGCCAGCAAGCAGGTGGAGCACCAGAGGAGTGCAGTGCAAACGCAAGAAATTTGCTATGGAAAACAGAAGTGAGGTTTGGAGTGACAATGGGTAAGAGACTCGCTTCAGTTCCTTTATGACCAGAATTTGCTTCCTGCACACCTCCCAGGCCCAAATTAAGGCACACTCTACAGTCAAGTCTGGCCCATTCCTGAGCTTGTGAGGCTGCTCACAGCATGGCTGGGAATTAGAAAAATGCATCTCCTAGAAAAGTAGGCATTTTAAATGCACACTTTTATTTAGAAACATAGAAACAGAGCGAGTCAGAAGGGGTGTCCCTGGTCATCTAGTCTGACCCCCCAGCTCTTGCTGGCTCCACTCATGACATGCCCACCATGTGCATGTCCAGCCTGTCATTGAACACCCTCACTGATGGGACTTCAACCACCTCCCATGGAAGCCCATTCCATACCCTCAGGGTCCTAACTGTCGGGAAGGATTTTCTGGCATCCCAATTGGACCTTGGTTCCCTGAGCATTGCTCTGTTGGAGCATGTCCTGCCCTCCTCTGCAGGGCAGAAAAGGTCTCTACCCACCTCCGTGTGACACCCCCTCACATACCTGTATGTTGCCAATACTGATTGATTTGATTTGATTTGTAACCAATCTTTTGTTCTTTTAAAGAGCTCATAGAGGCTTACATCGGTCTCTTCCTCCTGCTCTCAATCTTATCCCCACAACCACCACTCTGGGAGGTGGGTTGGGCTGAGAGTCTGTGGCTGGCCTGAAGGCACCCAGATGGCTCCATGGCTGAGCAGGGACTAGAACCCAGGTTGCCTGAGTCCCAGTCCCATGTTCTTAACTACTACACCACACTGGCTCTCTTTTAAAGACATATATGCCTGCAAGTTTTAATCAGTAAGAGATACTGGCATATTTTTCAGTGTGCACAGAGGCACATTGCAGTTTTCACTTAATAAGAAAAAAACAGCCAGGTTCTGATATGGACACAAGTTGAACCAAGCTTCAAGGTGGAACTGTGAACCTTGCCAGGGTCTAGTTTTGCTAATTTCCATATTCCTAATTGGGTATTCTATCACCTTTGCACATGTCTCAGGAAGAGATTGGGAAACCAGCACAAGCAGAGCTATAGATGCACTAATTCATCATCAACTGAGGCCTCGTTAGATTCCCCAATCATTTCACTAATGGTACAAGCAACAGAGTGTTTGGTCCCCCCGCCCCTTACCTGTGCACTGCAATGCCAGCCTCAGGAACGCTGCTCAGACTGTCTGCCTTGGGCCCAGACACAGGGGCTTTTCTCTTGCCCACTCCCAGGTTCTCCACCACTTGGCTGGGTTTTGCCACCGCCACCTGATGCATATGTCAGAAAATCAGGCACACAAGGCAAGCCCTAACCCTAACCGAACCCATTCTGGCAGGAGGGGAGACAGCACTCAGGTGGCAAGATGTTCAGGCCAGAAGCTTGATGCCAGGATGAAGGAGCAGCCAGAGGTTTGGAGCCGAAGGGCCTCGGAACAGAGGGAGAGTGACACACATTCCCAGCAGCAAAGACTAAAATGAGGATGAGGATCATCTTTTGATGTCCATACACAGGGTGGCAGAATTATTTAAAGAGGCAGCAAAAGCACAGTCTTCTGGGACCATATTATGTGGTGTTATGTGCATTATGGCTTGAGTTTTTGCAGACTAGACTCCAGCTCATCAGATAAAAGCTGTGGTTGCTTTTGCTGCAACAGGCTATTAAGGGTACCCCATGGAAATGGTAACAAGGACTTTCTTTCAAGCCAGTACCGGCTTTTTAGAGGCCAGCCAGTGAGACTGGATGTCTTGGACCCATCCAAAGCAACTGCAAAACACACCACTCAGCTCCTGCAGAGTTGCGGGGAACAGCAACTGCTCCGGATCACTGTGTGCAGCATGTTTGCCTAGTGGAGCCATCACGTGGGCACCCAGTGCGGACGGGGAAAGGTCAGGATGCGTTCACAAGGATGCTGCATCATCTAGTGCCTTGTTAAAGAGTCATTATAGCAGAAGAGCTCGGTATCCGCTCTGTATGGGGCAGCTATAGGGGCAGGAACACTTCAACGGTTTGCCACCCGTTGCACTACGGCCCGATCTGCCATGCAAAACAGCAAGGTCATGAGGCAAGAGCACACCATTAGGTTTCAGGGTCAGAAATCCAGGAGCTCAGCCAACCAGACACCTGGGATCTTTCCAGCCACAACCTACAACCTGGACAAGTTGTGGACTCTCCTCCACACTAGAGACATTCAAAAAGCATATGAGCAGCCACCTGGCCCCTTCCGACTCTACTATTCTATGGTTCTATAAAGATGCTTGTAGTTCCCAAGCTGGCATCTCCTGGAGTTCGTTTGGCCTTTCAGATCTTTTCTTATCCCCCACAGTCATTTGCCAGCGAGGTCACAGGCTTAGCCAAAATAAGAGGGAAGAGCATCAGCTGCCTACCCCGGGCCCAAGGCTCTGGAACGTAGCTGACAGCATCTTCAGCTGCTGTGGGTCCAGGGTCAGGGCGCAAGACCGTGGCTGGTCTGTACCTGTCATGGGATAAGAGGAGAAAAGAAGAGCATATTACTCATGTCAGAGCATCATCAAAGTCCCACCAGATTGCAACAGAGGAATTGCATAAATAAGCCGCAGGTGTGATCTGGGCTCATTCTGATTTCTAAGGTGCCAAGGAAGAAATTCAGTTTCAGTTATACCTTTTGACGTTAATCTGGAGATGGAGGACATCGGAACATGATTTGCTGCTAAACTCCCTGTACACAGAGTGCCCCGGGCTGTCTGTGGGGAGAAAAGATGCATTAACGGGTAAAGCCACTCTTTATTTAAAAATAACAGAGCCCCAATATCCACTGGCCACTTCATGTCTAGCTCTAGTGCCTCTATATCCGCAACAAGGAAGGTCCCACAACTTTGGGGGAAATGGTAGTCCGAGTAAACACTCCAAGCAAAGCATGAATTAAGTCTGATGTGCATGCATAGATCAAAGGCACCACGAAAACAGAGTAACAATGGGAATTTATGGGGTGGGTCTTTAGTATCAGCCTTGAATGCTCTCCCAATATACAACGGGAATTTATTGAAATGCCTGTGCTTTCATACCTGACTACCTGCACACAAGAATTGGAAATTCATGGAAATTCTTGCACTTCGGCCCAGCACGGAACCCAAATTTAATCTGTTAACTCTTTTTTTTTTTAAAGCAGAAGAACTGAATCCAAGAAGCAACAAATATGGTCCTGTTAAGATAGATTTTCAGATCTGCTATATTAAAAGCTTCATTGCTTGAGCTAGAAAAGCAACTAAGCACCTTCCTAAATTTCAAACTCTTGCCCAGTCATATAACAGATGCATAAGTACATAGGTCCCATATAGACTGAAATGCCTGATCTTGCCTAACCCAGGAAACTAAGGGGGTCAGGCCTGGTTAGTATCTGGATGGGAGACTTGAGTCCTCCACTGAGCAGGAGGTTGGACCCAATGGCCTTCTAGTCCCCTTCCAACACTATGCTTCTATGACTAAAGACATGCTCTGTTCCATTACAGCCCCGTATACACAAACATAAACACACACCATTGCAGAGGCTTGTTCGTGCACAGGATGGAGACTTACCCCAACTCCAGCTGAGCAGGCTCTGCTCCCTCTCAGAGGGACGCGTCGGGCCAGGCTGGGCTTGTGGGTGGAACTCACCATATCATTAGTCAGCCCCGTGTTGGACAGGATACTAGCAAGGGCTGCTACATCAGGAACAAACTCAACTGTGCTAGCTCCTACAAGAAAAGCATTACGGGGCTCCGGTTAGCAGCACACAGAATTAAGGAAGTACAGCTGCGGAGTGGAATCCCAGGCACCTCGAACTTACATACTGAGAGTCTAAAACATTTCTCCAGCTCCAGCCTCAAACAAGCAAGGCCAGAAAGAACTGAAACTCTTCTCATTCAACCCCAGTAGAAAAATAGGGCTCTTGTACCAAAAGATCCTAAATAGGTCCACAGCCTGCAGTATGTCACAAACAGCAAGCAGCGAGCAGCCGCATAAGGAGGAAGAAGAGACAGTAATGGGACGGTCTACAAAAGTTTTAAATAAATAAATTAAAATTAATAAAATAACATAAAATAAGAAGTTGCACTGAGAAATGGCTTCAGCATTTATAATATACTAGAGGTGCCTACAGGTCAGGAACATCATTTTCATGCAAAGCTGGAAAAAAAAAAGCTGGGTAGCTCAAGGTAGTGAAGACTCACTCCCTTACCCTCCTGAGATATTAGAACAACCTCTCTGCTGTAGCCCTGCTCACAGATTGCCTAGTGTTACCTCCTGTCTGATCGGACCTTGCAAAACGCAGTCCAAACACTGCTTCTTCCAGGGAATAGGTTTTGCAGTACAGTGTGTGTGTGTGCGTGCGCGCTCTCTATCTTAGAACAAGGTTTTCTAAATTGGTCCAGCAGTCCTGCCTCTACCCCAAATTGGGGTCAATTAGTGGGTGTGTTCAGATGTTGGCGTAGAACAAGCCTAGCTTTCCACTGGGTTTCTACCTCTGCTTTGCTTGACCAGCATGACCATGAGTAGGAAAATAGACACTTTGACTTCTATTTCTGAGTAACAACAGTTTAGTGCATGACCCAAATGGTGGGCTGAACTTGGCCTGTTTCCACTAATTGTAGTTAAGTTTATGACCACTGTATGCCGCGGTTCAGACAACCCAGCAAACAACTATTAATCAAGAATAGAAGCCAACGCTTCTGAACTCCTTCCTTTTTGCAGTCATGCTTCAGGGACAAGTGCATGAACCCCAAAGGGGAAGCCAGGCTGTTCTTGTACTGCCGAACTATGATTTAGCAAAGGGGTAGGTGACTTATGGTCATAAGGATGTTGCAGTCCAGTAATCCCCATCATCCATCCTAATGGCTGATGGGAGGTAGAGTCCTCCAACACAGATTGCCCATCTCTGATTATTTTGTGTTACTTCTGAACCAGCCTCATGATCTCTGATGTTTATCAATTTGACACACATGGCTCCAATCCAGCCAAAACACTTCCTGATACCTTTGCCGTTGGGCCCACTGCCTTCATTCCAATGGCCGGAGCTGCTCAGCTGCATTTCCCCCAGGGGCTCCCTGGAAAGGCTCTTGAGTGATAACCCAGCTTCTGCTTTCAAAAGAGCAGCACCAGGAACTGAGCCGGTATGAGGCATCTTGGCAACCTTGATTGCTTTGCTTCCCACACCGGACAGATATGCCTATGGAAAAGACAAGCGGATTCAACACAGGTCAGCGCTGCATTCCAGGAAAACATTTGCCCTCATTCAACAAGTTTCAGCCACCTACAGGACAGGATGGGCCTGCCACAAGGCAGCTCGTTGTTCTGAGGGAGCATTTTGTTCTCAACACAGGACTGACAGTGCCCGATTCGCAAGCGTGCAATGTCGAATCCCCTGGGCAGAGTCCAAGAACGCTTTCATCAAGTGATGGTAATAGCTTTCATGAATAGCAACCCCCTCCCCCGCCCCCAAGCAAAATGTATTTGGTCAGTTAACCTGCCAAATACCGGCCAATAGTGCAGCCCTGATGGCCCATTCCTGGTTTCAGTAATCATTACATACTCTGACAAACCCTGGAGGCTTGCCAAAACCAATCAATCAATGAAAGCTTGGGATAGATATAGAAAAACACCCCCCCCCCTCACTCAACTCAGTCCCATACTGTGTATCCATCCCTCTACCAGTCTGTCATTTCCCCACCATAGGAATTTTAGGGAGATAACTGTCAGGCCATAAACCAAGGATGGTTCAGGCTGACAAAGGAGAGCTCAGGTGGCTGCCTCTGAGGAAAAGTGGCCAGGAACTTGAGCCAAAATATCTGGAAATCCACCACTGCCTTAGGACATCTGGCAAGGCACGGGGGTGTAAGGACCAGCTCAACAGGTTAAATAGGGGGCTGCTCCTCCCTCCTCACCACAGGACAGCTATCATCAATTGCCATACAGGAAGGATTCCATTCTTGAAAGGAGTTATTGAAGGAGGCCTCAGGGTCTGGCCCAGTTGGACTTCCCCTCTGTATGGCTGTCTACTGCCAACTGCCTTGCGGGAAGGATCCCAGTGAATTTTATTTTGTATTATTAAGTTGCATTCATATCCTGCCCTTTCGCCCCCACCCTTGTATACTTCTATCTTCTCTTCACAACAACAACCCTGTGTGGTAGGTTAGACTGAGAGCGAGTGACTGGCCCAAAGTCACCCAGTGAGCTCCATGGCAGAGTGTGGGGCTAGGTCCCAGACCTCCTGGGTCCCCAGTCCAACACTCCAACCACCACACTGGCTCTCAGCTATTTCATTAATAGTTTATCCTGATATGTTATTTTTATTATTTTGGTGTAGTACAGATAGTTGTAATAAGCAACAAAATGAATAGGGGCAGGATCAAGCCACCACAAAAAAAGGAAAGTGAGAGATCAGCATGGCCTGTAACTTATGTGGCTTCTAAGCAAGGAAAGCCCTGCCCAAGGCTTCCTTTCCAGAAAATGACCCCGGCAGATTTCAGGCTTTTCCTGACAACCAACATGAGCTAGGAACTCTCTTTTGGGAAGGATTGCTGAAACCAGGAAGCCAAATGCGGCAAAGTGAACAGTGCGACACCGGCCCAACCTCCTCAAAGCAAACAAGAGGCGTACTTCTCCTGAGCCCCAGGTGGCTCCACAACACCCACCTGCGGCAGCTGGCCCTGCTGCTGTTGTGATGGCTTCAACCGTGGCAAGGATCTGCCTTTGGACAGCACCGGGATCTTACTGCTGCCAGAGGCACTTGCAGCAAGAGATGCGCTTTCCTTCTGCCTTGGCTCGGCATTGCTCCCCGGAAGGAAAGTTTCTTGCAGGTTCTCCTTTCCGGTGCATGCCATTTAGAGGAGCTGCCTTGATCTTACAGTGAATCCCCTTTCTCAGTTATTGGCCCCTATGAAGAAAGGGTTTTGTGAAGACACAGAAGCCACCATCAGTACAAGGTGAGTGTGACCAGAACCATTTGCTCCCCTCAATAGCCTTCTTGTCCAGCTGGAAGGGTGGTCTGCACAGGGCAAGCTCATTGGATGCCTTCCCCACCTCTAGGACTTTCAGATTCTTGCATCAAAGATCTTAACACAACCAGGAATTCAAAAACCTCACAGCATAAACAACCACTGACAATTTACCTCGAGGACAGAATATTTGTTAACATTCGGTGTCGTATCTACTCAGGCAAGAAGCACCATCAATGCCACAATGGCCATCCTATAATATATCACACTACAGGCTAGTGACTCAGGACCACCATGATGGCCCTTTTGGAGAAAGGAATAAAAAGGGAGCAGGCAGGGGCAGAAGCAAGGCAAAGCGTGGCCTTGGGAGATTTCCCAGCTGAAGAGACCCCAGAAAGGAACTCACCCACTGGCCTGCAGAGGTTCCCCCTCTGTCTCACAGAGCCAGGCTGGATTGCTGCAAGGGACGCCCCACTGTTAGCTCTGACCAAAAACAGCAGGAGGAAGTTCCTTGTGTGTGTCCGCCTGCCAACTAGGAGGGCGAGGGGCATGCAAGGGAATCCCCCATTATTTCCAATCACAAATTAGCAATAACAGTATAGATCATGGGTCTCACTATCACGCGGAGATAGTTTTGGACTTGCTTGAAGAAAACGATCTCCAAGCGAGCAAGCCACCGCCCCACAGGCCTGCCCCCACCTCACCTCACCACGCCCGCACACCCCACCTTTGCCCCACCTCGCCCCCCCACTGCGTGCGCCTGCCCCCGCCCCGCTGCCCCCGCGCACCCCACCCTTGCCTCGCCACATGCATGCACACCGCCCCCGCCCCCTCGCCGGCCCAGCACAGGCACCTTTCGACTGGCCCCCCGTTGAAAAAGTTTGAGGACCCCTGTACAGATGCACGTGCATGCAATACTGGGGACTGAGACCCTGTTGCAAGAAGCCTCTTGCTGCCTCTCCTCCCAACACTGACTGAGTTGCTTTCTGAGTTTCGAGAAAAGCAAAATGGGCAGGGCAAAGGCCATGGCACTGCCTGGCTCACAGAGTCCGGCAATGGGGCAATTCAGCCTCCCGATTAAAGGAGCTTCCCACTCGTGATCTAGCCCAACCCCTTTACGAGCACGTAAACCCTCCAGTGAAGAAGAGCAGGAGGTGGTGTGTTCCGTGACTGAACAGCCCTTCACTGTTAGAAAGCTGCTCCTGATTTGCCAAAGTTTGCTTCCCTGCAGCTTCCAGCCACTGGCTATAGTCCTGCCCACTGAAGCGACATAGAATGGTGTTGCTCTATTTCCTTCATGAAGGCTTCTGAAGACTGCCAACGTGTCTCCCCACAGCCTTCTCTTTTCTAGGTGAAACATACTCGGTTCTTTCAACCATTTCTAACAGGGCCTAGTTTCCAGAGCCTGGCCACTCTCCAGTTTGTCAATATCCTTCTTAAAATGTGCAGCCCGAACTGGTCACAATGCTCCAACTAACACAGAACAGATTGGCATCATTGCTACAGGGGATCCCGGCCCTATGCATCTGTTGAAGTAACCCCAGATTACAGTGGTTTATACTTCTTTCCCCAGCTGCAAGGCTGCTTAAGCCTATGTTTCTGAAAAGTTATCTCCCCTCCTCACTGCCTTTTAGGCTTGTTTCCTTACGACTTTTAGAGGAACCCCCAGCTTGCAAGAGTAGCACAGAAGCACAAATTTCAGTAGGTGTGGCTTTGTCGTGCCGTTACAATATAGATGTTATACCAGACAGTTTCCCCTTCCCTATGTCTTGTGCAGCAGGGCTAGGCCCACAACTCCCATTAGCCCTGGCCATTGGCCATGGTGATCCAAAATGTCTGGAGGGCACCATATTGTCTAGCCTTGCCTTATAGGAAGACCAGGCTCCTCCATTCTGGAACAAGCAACCCTGTTTCCCCCACCCTGTAAAGCCCTAGTCTTCTGGTCTGTAAGCTTTTGTCTGCAGAATGCTACATTTCTTCAGTTTCCAGTCCTAGAAAAAGTAGCTGGACATGAAGAAGTCAAACTAGGAAAGTTTTCCCAGTCCTTCCAGCTCTCTGGTAGAAACGTCTCTGCTAATTTCGCTTCTTTGAATTGAGTCACTTTAAGAACAACATGGGGTAAGCTAAGGAAGATGGCTCCCCCCACACGGTGTCTACGGGCCTTCCTATACTTAAAGGAAGCCACAGCTTTAAGTTTACAAGATCTGGGCAAGGCTGTTGAGGACAGAACATTGTGGAAGACACTTATTGATAGGGTCACCATAAGTCAGGGATGATTTGATGGCATGTAACAACAAGATTGTTTGTCATCTTCCAATGAGGTTCTTGTGCCTTTAAGAGCTATACTAGAGGAATATAACTGCTGCATTTTTTCCCAGCATGTTGAGGTGCTGGTGATGGTGGGAAAAGCTGCACCCAGCTTTCATGCAACTTCCACAGTACAAGAACCTTACCAGGAGAGGGTAGCAAACCCAACCCTGCATGAGGTTTGCCTCTAGTCCTGTTGGGTCATCCTTCCCATTTTGTTGCTTCCTCAAGCCTTTAAGGAAATCTCTGATTGCACAGGCAAAGCGCTTTCCTCCAGCCTTCCTGATCAACTAGTGTCCTTTATTGCCCAGCACAATTCTACCCCACAGAGATGAGACCTGGGGGAGATGAGTAGTGAAGCACAAAATGCACATGTGTTCTTACATCCCCTTATGTCTCTTCAATAAAAAAAAGGCAGGCACCATACTTAGCCTCACGTTTGTACTGCCAGATGCAGAGCTGAAAGATTCATTCATTCCCCCAGAATTTCACTATCCATGCTAGATCTAGGGAGAAATCCTATGCATGTCAGAACAGGAAGAGAGATCTTTAACTCCCAGCATCCCCAAGTTGGCTAGGGCATGCTGGGAGTTGCAAAACAAGAAAAAAAAACCCCCTCTACACCCTTATAGGCTGTCCAGTTGCCAAAGCATTCACTGCTTGACCTCTGCTTATAGTTCATCCTTCGAAACACAATGAAACATCAAGTTCTTTTTACAAGCTAGCGATTCTCGCTCTTCAACTGTCCGGAGACAAAACTCATCTCCCTACCTTTCCAGGTCAACATCGAGTGACCAAAGCTTAAGTCATACTTTTGAAAGCATCTTTAAAAGATGCAACGTGTTTACAAAACCGCCACTCTTTACTCACCTCCACGCCACAACTCCCCTTTTCAGTGTCCATGGACTGCAACTCCCATCATCCCTCAGCATGAGCTTGCCGGCTAGGGCCGATGGGAGTTGTAGTCTGCTAATCGCTGTAGGGCCACAACGGTCCTCCTTTACGATTTCCTGCGCCTGACTAACCTCCCGCCGCCAGCCCACTATGAACCCCGTTGCTTCTCGGGGGGTGGGGTGGGAGCGAGCTCCACGACTCCTCACCCCGCGCCTTATCGCCCACCTGTTCCGGGCCAATTTGCTCACCGTCCCCTTTCTCGCCAAAACAGTTGATTCACAGCCATCCCAAGCAGCCTGTCCAACCAGTTCATAAAGCAGCGAAAGGCGTTGATTGGCTTCTCGGCGGGGCCACGTGCTGCGCGAGGGGCGGGGCTCGGAACGTTGAGAAGCGTTTGCTTCGGAGAGAAAGCCTTGGCTGAGAGGGCCGGAGCCGGAGAAAGGAAAGAGGTGCGGGAAGTGCGTAACAGCAATAATTTCCAGAAGACGTTTGCGGGGTGTTCTCCCACCGATTCCGGAGGTCGGAAACGGTAATCCTATGAACGAGAATACGTACAAATTGTTCTCCCTTCACCACTGAGCAATCACGCCCTACTTCATGTGGGGAAAGAAGGCAGGACACCTAAAGGCGCAATCCTATACACATTTAGACAGGAGAAAAGGCCGATGACTACTCACATGCTGCAGCTAATTTCCTGTCCAAATGTGCATAGGATTGCATCCTAAGAGGCTTAAGGGCTAGTGGCGCCCAACCTATGGAATTCACTCCCCAAAGAGGTCCGCCTGGCACCGTCGTTACTGGTTTTTCGGCGCCAGGTAAAGACCTTTTTATTTAAACATCATTTTAATTGTTAAAACATATGATCTGGCCAGGGCAACTTCTTCTTCCTTCTCTTTTCTCCTCCTATTTATTTACTTATTTTATACTGATAATTTTATATTATTATGTTTGTAACTCAGTGTATTTTTTGTATTTTTGTATTTAATGGTAATTTATTATGTTCTATTGTATTTCAATGTATGTTATTGTGTTGTAAGCCGCCCCGAGGCTTTGGCAAGGGGCGGCATAGAAATGTTATTATAATAATAATAATAATAATAATAATAATAATAATAATAATAATGGCGAATCCTTCCTGGCACTGTTCGGTTTGTAATACTTTGGTTATTTGCTTATGTAGGATGCACTTCGTATAAAATGGCCAGATGGTCGCTACAATACATTGCAGTGGGGTGTGATCCTGCACCGTAAGATGGGAGGGTTCCGATAAGTCTGATCCACAGTCCCCAAGGAAACTGAAATGGAGGGGGGGTGAGTTTCCTAATCCCCGCACTCCCTATATTATTGATCCTACAACAGCCATGTGGGGTGGGAAAGTACTGTTTTCTTTATCACCAAGAAGCATCTGTACTAAAACATATTATTTAATAGAGAGATTTTTAAGCAGCCCTTTAGGGTCATGCTCTAACAAAGCATCTTTGAATAAGGAAAACAAGTTTTGCTAACATAATAGGGCCTTAATGGTCTTAAGGGTGCTGTGGATAGCTTGGGTTTTCACACAAATGCTTGCATAGTCTCATTGTCATGGCTATGTGCAAGTCTAAGAGGTGTTCCTGCCCCAGTTGAGCAACAAGGACTTCCTGTGCTCAGGTGTGCTCCTGTAGCCTTCAGCCCAGTCCTTTGGTTCTAACTTGTTGTTTGGGCCATACAGCCAAGTACACTAGTCCCAGGGTTCCTGGCTCATCTCAGACTGGTGCTCACAAGCCCACCCATAACAATTCTGTTGCTATGACCATTAGGATGGATTTATGCAGGGAGTGGGGTTATATTGAACTTTCCATTTCCATAGAAAATTTTGATATGCTGACCATTTAATATTTAATGTTCACTTGGACAGGCAATCCCTTCTTGTTTAGCCAGGTGAGTGGTCCCTAAAAGCACTAATATTAAGCAAGCAGCTGCTCACCGTGTGTTTTTTTTTTAATATTCCAAAGACCATTTAGAAAGCTCAATACATTCCAGTTTTGGAGTACTAACCACCCAGCACTTTCAGGGTCAAAGTTACTCTCTGATTTATTCTTATGAGCATGTTGCTGTTAGATGGAAACCACATTTCCCAGCTTTGCATCAGTATCTGCAGCTGTTTCAGCAACAGCATGCCTAATTTGCAAGCAGAAGGCCTCAGGTTCCATTAGCTGCTTCTGCATTTAAGTGTGAGGTGCAAAGGACCTCTGTCTGGGACCCCCAAGTGTTGCTGCCGCTCAGAATAGATTCACCATCCCAGGGCTGGTGCCCTCTGGATGTTTTGAGCTTCACCTTCCATCAGCATCAGCCAGCATGGCCAGTGGTTAAGAATGGTAGTCCAAAACATGTAGAGAACACCGGGGTGGGGAAGGCTGAAGCAGACAGCAGTGGGCCAGATGGACAAATGGCGTGACCTAGACCAGGGGTCGGCAACCTTTAACACTCAAAGAGCCATTTGGACCCGTTTCCCACACAAAAGAAAACACCGGGAGCCACAAACCCTTTTGACATCTAAAATGAAGATAACACTGCATATATCATTTTTTACCTTAATGCTATGTATATCTTCATTATGATTTAGCTGCAACTCTTGTTCAGTCACTAAAAACTGTTATTTTTAATCTTACATTATAAACTAGTAGGACTCCTTTCATATATTTTGAATAGAACAGCTTCCTGAAGAGTCAAAGTCAGTGCTAAAGGGTTGCATGCATTAAACAGCAAATCCCATAAGTTTGTCAGCAGTAAAAGCAAATGAATCTACCCATGTATCAAACGTTTGGTTTTCTTCAGAAACTTCTTCGATTTATCCATGGTTGGCCTACGGGGGTGGGGGGGAGCTCAATAAATCAGGTCCTGAGATATAGGTGTGTTTAGTGACTGATTAAGATAAACAGTCAAGTGCTGTGAATTGTGACAGGTCCCAAGTGCAGCTTTTAACATGCAGATGAAGGAGATTACATTGGAACAAAGAGAATCTTTTCAGTTTCGTGTAACATGAGAGCCTGCAGGAAGCTTGTTTAGCAGAGGAATGTAGGGATTTACTTCACTAGCTGATTTACTTAGCTAGCGCTGCTGCGTTCCTGCAGATCAGCGGCTGTGCAGGGATGATCACCTCTTTCATGTAGAATTTCTTCTGCCCTTCACAGTTGTGTGTGAGAGAGAATATCAGCAAGAAAAGAACCTACATGTGAGTTTCCAAGAGAGAGGGGTTACCACTTTTTGAGAATAGTGCCCATACATCTGTGCCTTTGCAGCCACAGTGAAATTAGGCAGGAGAGGTGTTCTAAAATGGAAGTGGTGGGGGAAGTTTCACAAGCTTGATTTCCTTGTTGGGCTACCATGAAAAAAAGCCTTTCATTATACATTGCTGAGTATCAGATGTCGGGAGAAAAAATACGCAGGAGATGGAGGGCTTTTCAACAGTATGTTTATTGGAAGCGATACATGGCCTATTCCACACAGTGGCCAAGTGTCACAAGTCAGGGGAGGTCAAGAAGCACCAGAAAGAGCTCTACTGCAACAATTCCCAAGTTTCCATGTGCTCCTGCTTTTCCACAGGAGTGTGAGCTAGACTGAGTTGTCACCTGGGCAGACATCATCTTTCCCCAAGCGGGAGATGAGCAAGGCAGGCCACACAGTAAGGAAAGCGATCCTGGGGAGCTGGGATGCGTGGGCGTGCTGGGGTGGAGCGCAGAGGAGCAGGCCTAGCATAGTCAGGGCCAAAGAGCTAGGCTCTAGTCGGGGACGCTGATGCAGAGATCCATGGTCATGGAAGAGTTAGCACCAGGAACTTTTACCAGGAAAATGGGGAATTGTTCAAATGGCTATCAAAAATGGGGAATCAGCACCAAAACCCATAAAGGGGATCCCTGTTTTTCAAAACCTATCAAAAAGGGATAAGGAAAAGATACAAGCAAGGCTGAAACGGCTATTGGAAATCCAGCAATTGGACTCTCTCCTGTATGATATGCCAGCACCATCCTCAAGCAACTCATTTTGGGAAGTGCCAATAATCAGCTGCCAGGTTGCTGACGGGGACTGGACGTTATACTCACATGACTCCAGTTCTCTGTCAGCTTCACTGGCTTCCCATTGAAGTCCGGGCCCAATTCAAGGTGTTGGTGATGACCTATAAAGCCCTAAACGGCTTGGGTCCTGGTTACCTGAAGGAGCGCTTACATCCATATATGCCCAGCCACCCCCTGAGATCGGCGGGAGAGGCCCTTCTCCAGGAGCCCTCCATGAAAGAAATTAGGAGGGTGGCTACTCGGAGGAGGGCTTTCTCAGCGGTGGCGCCTAAGTTACGGAATGCGCTCCCCAGAGAGGTCCACCTGGTGCTGTCGTTATTTGTTTTTCGGCGCCAGGCGAAGACCTTTTTATTCAAGCAGCATTTTAAATGTTAATATTATTGGATTTTTCTGGCCAGGGCGGCTTATTTCATATTGTATATTTGTAATTTATTTTAATGTATATATTTTAAAATGTTATTTAACTTATTTGTTGTAAGCCGCCCCGAGGCTTCGGCGAATGGGGCGGCATAAAAATGTTTTAATACATAAATAAATAAATAATGCAGCCCCATGCTATGCAGTTAGGCATATCAAATTCTGCCCGGGATTTCAGTCTCTAAGTCTGTGAAAATGCCACCACTGCTACTTCTGAATTTTATCACCATTGCTTGTTTGTAAAAGTGGCCTTATTTCCATGATGGTTACTGTACCAAAAGTATATCCCAGATAGGTCTCCCAAAGGAAAGAAAAAGAAGAGTCACAGCCACTAACAGGCAAAGTTTTTCTCTTCATATACCAGTTCTAATTCTACAGTATGTCAGTTACATGCTCACCAAAATAAAATGCCTCAATGGTTATATCACCCTCTACCCAAGGTTATATGAACTGTTGCAAAAGGCCAGTATGTGTAGGTTCAAGAATGGATGCAACCTGAATAGCCAGACCTGAATGGGGAACATTTATAATGCGGCAGGAACTTCTGCATTTCAGCACATTCTTACCCATTCCAGTTTCAAGGGGGACTTGGAAGCTGCTCCATGGCAGGAAGAGACAAGTAAGAAGAACAGACCATAAGAAGGCAGAGCAGTATTTTCCTGTGCATTGTTAAAATTGTGTTTAAGGGGTTGCAATCTGGCAACTCTGCAACCAGATCTCTGCTCTGTATCTTAAACAGTCATGTAGAATTTGGAATCCCTGTAGGTATATTGCATGTGCAGTATGCTTTTTGTTGTTCCGGCCGTCTTCTGCAAGAACCTATAGGTTGGGACTCAGAAATAAGCTCCCTTGAATTCAGTGGGGTGTATTTCCCTGAAACGTGCTTAGAAATGGCATACCAGCTCCGGTTTTGGTTTTCCCCACAGGAGCATGAGGAAAGCTCTGGAGAGGCCAAACAGAGGGGAAAGCTACAGAGGATATTGAAAAGTGAATAATCATTACTTGGAAAAACGGAAAAGGATTACCTGAAAGTGATGTTGCTAACATTTAGTGTCCAACCACTGTCAGTCAAAATCAAAGCTTGTGAGCCTCCCTAAAAGGAAAATTTTGCCTTCAGCTCAGAGCAGATAAAATCAAATGGAAAAGGAACAAGACCTGCATAGGACTATCTGTAGAATACTACCGTAACAACCTATTATAAATATTTAAGACAAGACTAGGAAAGTTTTGGAAGATGGAAATGACAGCTGTGCAGTAGGATGGCACAGAGCATTCTTATAGTATGCACTAAAACTTCCAGAAAGTTATGAAAACAGTGATCTGAACAACAGTGAGTAAACTGGGAAAAATAAAAACGGCAGTCCTTTCCATCTAGAAGGTACCAAGTTGGGGAAGTCTATTCTAAAGCTAAATTTAAAATAATGTGTAGGTGTATATGATGCTTAGCATTCAGAGCACTTCACAGATGTTAGCTCAACTACCTATACTTGAGATAGTTCCTTACCTCTAAGAAAAATCGGTGTTAAATCCCAGTTTGGGCTAAGAGAAGGCAGTTTATCAAGATCAGCCTCCAAGCCCAAGGCAGGTATGAGATTTATACTGGGGACTTCATTGAGCTATACCAGGCTTATTCGGGGTAATGGGGCTTTAGGTTCAGTCCTATGCCTCCAAAAAAGGTGATACAACTCCCAGCATGCTCCAGCCAGCATAGCTGGGAGTTGTAGGACTTTTTGCTGTCTAAATAGGCATGGGACAGCTTCCTCAGGCACTATATTACAGTAGCTTTACAGTGCAATTATGAATAACTCATTTTGAGGCTTTGCAATTAAATTAAGGATGCCGGCCATTTTGGCACTCCTGCTTCTGGTCCCTCAGGACTGCTTGGCATTCACACAAAGCTTTTAGTGCAACGACTTTGATACATTTTTTGTATGTTAACCTTTAGTGAAAAGGACAGGAGCAAGAACAGTAAAAAGTTAGCAAGCTGAAGTGAGATTGATGAGCAAAGTCTCAAATACTGATGAGCCAGAAGGGGCTTTTAAGAAATCAAGATGTCAACTTTTAGGCTTTATTAACTGCATTCTTTTGCATGGCTAATGAATGGGAAGAGTGTAAATAAAGACCACGGGACTAATTCTATCCAAGAATTAGATCAAAGCAAAGCTGGTGTTACCCTTGGAATATATATTGGTGGTAGGTACAGAACATGATAAAACAGAGCCATGACACAAATAATGCTTTTATATACATTAGCAAGCAATTGGGAAGGTCTGTGAATGTGGAGCTGAGAAAAAGTAGTTGAACAGATCAGAGGTTTTCATCAACATTCGTAAGAGGCCACCACAGCTTTGGTAAAGAACCCTTTGATGCCCTTGCCTATTAAGAAATCAACACTTACTGATGGTAGGGAATCACAACTGCTAGATGTATGCAATCTTCCCTGTTTTTACATAGTATTTTAAAAATAGGTTAGCTTGGAGTGTTTAAAAGTGATGCCTAAGCATGTCTGTGCATTCCAGAGACTGTTTGCTCATCTAGGACACTGACCTGTAGGCAGTATAGAGGATGGGGGAGTCCAGTGGCTTTCTTGACTGGTGGAAGCAGAAATGGTGGGGTCCCCTCGCCATTCCTTGTAGCAAACTTATAGCAAAAGGACGGGGTTAGGTGAGAGATTAACAAGAAAGTAAGTTAACAGATGAAATGGAGGTTACTTGGGGGCCTGGTGGAATAGGTTAGATGAGCTATCAGCAGTTGAAGCCTGGAAAAGTTGCTTTCCTGAAGGTCTAACATTTATCTAGTAGGGAAGAACTACTGCTATAGAGGCAATTCTTTCTGAAGGCAGAGTAATATCACTTTAAGGCTATGATAAGGGAAAAAAAGCCCCACAATTTAATGAGACTTATTTCTGTGTAAATACCTGTAATTTTGGCTGGTAAGATTGTCACCAGCAGACTCTTCAGTGTTAACTATCAGCAACACCCCAGAAGGATCACCTCACTGGTGGCCTGTCTTTGTTCTTTTAAAATAGTTTTTTTTTTATAATTCCATTGCACATTCTATTTTTTTTTAACATTGAGCATTTTTAAAATTATGTATCCATCTTGGGTACTCTTACAATATGATCTATGCAATCTAATCAGAAGTAAGTTCCACTGAGTTCAACAGGGATGAGTCTCAGGTAGTTTTGTATAGAATGGCATCCTTAAAAAGGAAATAATACCTACCATTTGTCTATTACAGAGTAGGCAAATTGTGCCCCTTCAGATGTTTTGGCCTTCAGCTCCCAGCGGCACTAGCCAAGCAACCAATGGAGGTGCATGCCCCAGAAGTCTGGAGGGCCACATGCTTCCCACCCTTGGTCTGCCACATTCACATGTTCAAAGCACTTCACAGGCATTTATGTCATTGTTGTCCTTACAACAGCCCTGTAACTTAAGTCGGTGTTATTCTCCCCGTGTCGCAGACAGGGGAGGGGAGTTGAAGCTAAGTGGGAACAAGAGACTAGCTTTCCTACCTAAGGCCACTAAGTGAGTTCATGGCAGCAGCAAGATTCAAACCGGGGACTTACTGATAGGTAGCTCAGCGTGCTACTCTTGCTTAAGGATATTCTCATAACGAGCGCGGCTGACAACCTCTGTGAGCAGTGATGGGCCTCAAGCGATCAGCACACAGAAGTGAATGGCAATGACCAAGCTTCTGGTCCTCTTTGGTGTTTCCAGGCGGGTGTGCCTAGCCAGACTTGCCAGATGCCACGAGCATGCGCAGCTGTGATGAGGATCGAGGGACCTGGTCCCCCATCTCAGGGTTCGAATCTATAATGTCTTTGGCAGATCTGTGTTGGCGTGGATCAATGCGTGACGGTTTGCTTGCAGGAAGGCAACTCGTCTCTCCTTCAGGACGAGGCGGAGAGGGAAAGGGCCTTACTAGGCAAGGGGAGAGACTGCGTGGTAAAAAGAGGTAGGAGCCCATGGGAGAGGAGAGCAAGACAGCATCCCCACTCCCCCAGCCCGTGTGTGGTTATTGCTGGGATCAAAGCCAGGCTGCCGCCAGGAAGGCTAGAGGCGCACATGGAAGGGTCGAGCCGGCGTGGGAAGCCTGGAGCGGCGTGGGAAGCTGAGGGAGGCCAGGGGCTTGTCGTTGTCCTCCTCCTAAGACAGTAAGGCCAGTGCGGCTTGGTGAAGACAGGTGGGGTCTGCTGCTGGGGCTTCTGCACATCGGGTGGATTTCGCACCCCTCTCCGCGGCACGGGGAAGGTGCCTGCTGCGGCCGGCATCACTTCTCTATTTCAGCTCTCTGCTCTTTCCTTGATTCGGTCACCACCTGAGAGGAAGAAAAAGGCAGGCTACGGGGTCACAGCAGCCTTTGGCAGGGAGGGGCTTGAAAGCAGAGTGAGTAAAGTGAGCCTGTCCACTGAACTGTAAGTAGTGTTGGGTGGGGCGGTGTTTGGTACTGGGTGTAAAACTAATCCTTTTTTTAAAAAAATTAAAAAATGCTTTTAGTCTAGCATTCCCCAGTATCGACCCTCTCAGGAGGCAGATCTCCAGAGCAGCTCCCAGAAGCTCCCTGCCAGCATGGCCAGTGGTCAGGAATGCTGGGAGTGGAAGCCAGCACAGCTGCAGATCTACTTTCTTTCAAGATGCTTTGGCATCCAGCTCCCAGCACTCCTGGCTTTCGGATGTGCTGGCTGGGGCAGATGGGAGCTGAAGCTGGGGAAGGCTGCTCCATCATACATAAGTGCTCCAATAAACACGAGAGCACAGGCAGGAAAGTGCTCCAGTGCTGGCTGTGGAGGCGTTCTAGTGGCCCGCAGTGGGAGTTCTGTCCTAAACAGGAAAATGTATGCAAAAACAAGCTAATACTATGCATACTTGCAAAACTCAGATCCCAGAGTACCGAGCCAAATTTCTTTATTTTACACTCGCTAGTCACTCCTGTTGGTGGGTGGGTTGAACTCCTGGGTGGGTGACCTGGACCTTGTCCTGAATGGGGTTGCACTCCCTCTGAAGGACAGGGTCCATAGCTTGGGAGTGCTCCTCGACCCGGAGTTGTCCTTGGAAGCTCAAGTGACTGTGGTGGCGAGGAGCGCTTTCCTTCAGCATCGGCTAATCCATCAGCTGCGCCCCTACCTGGAGGACGATTGACTAGCAACAGTGACGCATGCATTGGTTACTTCCCGATTGGATTTCTGTAACGCGCTCTACGTGGGGCTGCCCTTGAAGACAGTCCGGATACTTCAGATGGTGCAAAATAGAGCAGCCAGGTTGCTGATGGGGACTGGGCATTATTCTCACATAACCTCAGTCCTCTACCAGCTTCACTGGCTTTCCATCGAAGTCTGGGCTCAATTCAAGGTGCTGGTTATCACCTACAAAGCCCTTAACGGCTTGGGACCTGGATACATTGGGATAATCAAAGTATTTTTTGTATTGTTATATTTAATGGTAATTTATTATGTACTATTGTATTTCAATGTATTTTATCATGTTGTAAGCCGCCCCGAGGTTTCGGCAAGGGGCGGCATAGAAATGTTATAATAATAATAATAATAATAATAATAATAATAATAATAATAATAATAATAATACTTGAAGGAACGCCTGCTTCCATATTTGCCCTCCCACCTTCAAATGTTTGCCCTCCCGCCTTTCAAATATTAGCGAGTGTTAAGTCCACTAGGGACGAGAACAAGTTCCGCTCCTGACCTACTAGGGGCTAAGAGATATGAAAGACAGGCATGGGATCCTCAGGATCCAAAGCCAAGCCCAAGGAGGGCAAGAATGGGGGCAAATTATCCCAAATTCCTCCCAACAGTCCTCTGGGACAGATGTTGAAACAATGGGAAGGACTTTCCCACACCCCAGGAAAAAGTAGAGAAATGATTATTAATTACTGTTGTTTTGTTTGGACAAAGGAAAGTATTTGACCCCCAGCAATATTCTGGCTCCGATTTGGAGCAGATGAGGGATGGTTATGTCAGGCCCTAAACATTTATGTAAATAATAAGGACCCTTTTCTCTCAAGATAAATACCCTCTTTACGGAGGAAGAAAGGGGACTAATAAGGAATGCAGTGGCAATAGAGGAAATGGGAGTAAGTCAGGTAGAGGATGAGGTCGAGGAAGAGGACTTCAGCCCACACCTAGGAGGGGGTGAATGAATGAAGGATTAAGCGTGGGATGCTATCAATGTGGAAAGGTTGGGCACTTTAAACAAGAGTGTCCTGGGTGAGCTGAGAGGAGAGGAGAGGTTGATTTCTATCATGAATATGGACAAAGATTAGGAAGGTCAGGGGTCTCCTTATAGGAGGGCCCACTGGGAACCTTTGATAAATTTGAAAGTGGGACCATTTGGGAAAGGCATGGTATTTATGGTAGGCTCTGGAGCTATCTGCTCCACAATGAATATGATTCCAGATGGAATGAAATTGGGAAAAGGGGAATTGATGGCTCAAGGAGTGGGAGGCAATCTGGTAAAAGCAAAAATATTTGAAGCTGCTCAGGTAAAATATGAGCATGGTGCAACCGTTGTGTGGTATGATTTTGTATTGGGGGAGGAAATTTGTAACTTGGCAGGGAGAGATCTCCTAGCCGGACTGGGATTTTTGGTAGAAGTTGTTGGAGGGGAGGTAGAGACAAAGCTAATGAGGAGGACCAATACTGATTTATCTCTAAGACCACAGGCAGCTGGTGCTTGTGAGGCCTGGAAGGAAAACTGGAACACTTTGTGGCAAAAAAGGGAGGGAGAAGGGGGCAGGCATGATGCCTCTCCCTGCGAGAATGTATTGCATTGGGCTCGAGAGTGAGCAGGCCATAACTTGACAGCAAGAAAGGGCAGATGCCACTGTGACAGGTTCTGCCTGGGTTTGTGTTTATGTTTTTTGTGTGTGTTTAACAACCATTTGCCACTTCTGAGTTGCATAATTAGAAGAATCAGAATCCTAGTTTTTCCAGAGGATTCTGAAAAGGTGATAAGTTTGTTTCAAAGCACTAATTGGACTAATGCCTGAAGGGCAGGCTGCATTCCAATAAAACAAAACTCCAGGAACTAGGTTTCAGGTTAAATGTTAGAAGATAATCCCTGGGGGTTAGGAACCCCCAGAGAATGGGATGGATTTCATGGGAGGTTGTTAAGGCCCATCAGTGAAGCAGTTTGGACAACCACATGTTGTGGATTATAGGAACAGAGTTGCCTGAAGCCGGGGGGGGTCAGACTAGATGACCAGGAGAGGACCCCTTTCTGACTCAATTTGTTTCTATGTTTTATCACTCAACTTGGAATTATGTGCAAATGATGCTACACATCTCCTCTTGAAGGGCTCAAGTGCCCTATGGAGAAGAGTGCTAAAGGAAAGTTTATGAGGCTATGGTGAATAGGAGCATTTTTTTATTTACTACTGCAGTATTTACTGAGGAAGGGGAATCAAAGAGAGGGCTTGTATTAAAGGGATGGAGGAAACAGCCTGTGCAGCCACAGCCCTATTGGCTGAAGAAGCCAGGAAGTTAGCTACTGGGGAAGCTTTGGTGGTAACAATGGCACCCCCAGTGCAAGCTGTTAGCCGGTGCTCAGAAAAACAATTCTTACTATCCCACCTCACTGCCTTGCCATAAGCACATCAAAAGATGCCTCAGTGTCTGGTGGTGAAGACCAGATGACCACACTCCATTAGTGGGGAATCTGTGTGTTTTATAGGCTTGCTAAACTGCCTCTCTAAACCTGTACTTAACTTGGCCAGCCTGTCTAAGGTAACTTTAGTTTGGAAGGCCGGTCAAAGGCATCTAATTAGAGTGAAATGTAACTTTTCTTTATGGTGCTCTGACATGTATCCAATCACTTTCCTATTCTATATAACCCTAATGGAATTAGCATTGGCTGTTCCTTCTTAGGCACCCATGGATCCATGCATTGAATGGTAAATAAACCTATTTGCCCTGATCGGTGTGACAAGCCACCAGGGCTGGAAGGTGGCTAACTGGCTAACTGACTTATTAAGTATGAGGCTGTATTGATGAATCAACCAGATTTGATTTTGACTACTGGAGGAAGTGTGAATTCTGCAGATTTCTTGATAGGAGGCAGAAGGGACTTGGACTCCTCCTCTTGGTCAGCCCAAATTTGTGAGTTATGGGCTCTGAAGTGAGCCCTGAAATTGTAGGAAGGAACTGGGAATGGAGAAGAATCTAGACTCTGGAAGATGGGTAATGTCTGATGGCTGAGAATGGCCATCTAAGGGACTAGCTAGGCAAGTAATTCAGAGACTCCATGAAAGGAGCCTTTGGGGAGCTAAGGCTCTTGTAGATCAATTTCTAAAAACTGATGTGGCATTGGGATGTATTTGGGCTAGCAAATGCCTTTGGGAAAATTTGGCAGGAAAGGAGTTTGATCATGAGTAGAGGAAAAGTTTTGGTGCATGAGAGGTTGGTGCAAGTACTGTAAAAACCGGCTCATGTAAAGGGAGATCAGTCTGGGAATGGTGAAGAAACGAGATGAAATAGACTGGCAGGCTTGGAAGCAAAGAGGGCTTCTATTGAAGAAGCTGAGGCTCCACTATCAATACTGAACTTGATCCCCTTGGTTGAAGTTCCTTTTCATAAGCCTTAAGTATGATAAGGCTGGAGTAGCAAGGATGAAGGAAGTGGGATGAGTCAGACCCTGAAGCAGCAATTAAAGGAACTAATAATGGAAACTAAACTGCCTTGGACAAAGTGTTTACCTATAGCCTTGCTCCAAATATGAGCTGCTCCAAGGAAGGATACAGGAAAATCACCCTATGAAATGCTGTTTGAATTGCCTTACTTGGGGCGGGTGGGGGAGTTACCGAGTTTCAAGTCAAAAGATAAATTTCTGCGGAACTATATACTGGGGATATCTTCTTTATCTGCCCTCAGGGAGAAGGGACTACTGGCACAAACAGCTCCCCTGGACTTCACAGTACATCTGTTCAAAACTGGAGACTGGGTTCTGGTAAAATCCTGGAAGGACTCCAAGCTGCAACCCAAATGGGAAGGCCCACTACTGGTGTTACTGATGACCGAAAGAAAAAGGGTGGGCCCATTACACAAGGGTGAAAGGGCCCGTTTCACCACCAGAACAGGAGGAGTGGGTGGTGTCTGCTGGAAACGAACCTCTGAAACTTAAGCTACACCGGAAGGACCTGAATCAGCACAGGAGGACTGGTCAGGCGACTTAAAAGCCTGGTCCTCGGATGTGCTGGTTCTGTGAGTGCAGCTGCTGGTGTGAGTGCAGCTGCTGTGCACATTGTCCCGATTGTGCACCTGCACATAGGAATTGTACCAGTTCTGTACAGGCTACGTACCACAATTAGACATTGTGCTAATAGAGAACTGGATAGAGTCCATCCACGTAGTGATGACCCACAAGTATAATTCCCAGGGGCAGCGGATAATGACCTTTTCAGTGGTGCCAAAATAGGAAGAGTTTGAAGCTGAGAAGGCTATGCTACAGGGACCTTTAGGGAAACCTGATGAAGAATTAGTCACAGTAAGATAGAACCAAAAGAAAAAGGGTGGATTGTGAGAAGCAGAAAATTACTGTGACTAACAGATTAGAACAGTTAAGGCTATAGAACAATTGGTGATTAATAATGAAACTAGTACTAAAACTAATAGGATGCATATTAATAATCAGTCGACATGGCATTAAACTTTTGGACTTAGAATCCAAAATACGGCTGCGCAATTAGCTAATGCATATTAATAGTGCCTCCTGCTATGACTCAGAGGGTTATTAACGTGAACATGGGATGTATGAGCAGGTGGGGGTAACATACCAAGGAGTAGTATGATGAAGGTGGACGGGAAGAATGGGAATTCCCAGTATCCCAGCCAATGGGAGAAAGGAGGCGGGGACTTTGCGCGTGAAGCAGGGAATAAGAGGCTGTGTAAACCGCTCCTCCAGTGCACTACCTTCGGGGTGAGTGCCCGGTCTGGCCAGAACGTATTAAACTGTTGCCGCTTGGTACTTTGCCTCCCGTATCGTCATTGCTTGGGTTTCATTCCTTATACCCAGGAGGAGGCCTGAGTTAGGGAAGAAGATAAAACCTTCCTGGTGCAGAAAGCTCTGTCATACGACCAAGCCAGCTTTAGCCTCCCACTTTGCTCTGGCCCTGGATACAATCCTCTGTGTGGATCAGGGTGCAGAAGCTTGGGGCTGGGGTAATAAATCCAGCCTGGTTTGGATACTAATTTGGCCTTCCCCAGTTCTCAGGCAGCTTATCCCCATCCCAATGGTCCACTTGCGTCTCCCCATACGCCAGTCATTGGATGGTTTCTCTGATTTGTGCAGTCCTCCCCACTCCATTCTGGAAGGCTGTAAGTGCTTCTCCTAAGCATTAGTTATAGGCTGGGAAAGCTGCAGTATTCTTCTCTCCACCCCCAACACTGGGATTCATCACCCCCCTCATGCAAAATTGATCCCCAAAATTTAATTTGGCCCTCACACTGAAAGAGCAACACCCCGACAGTAGATAGTCCCACAACTTATGGTCATGCCAAGGCAGTAGACCTTCCCTCTCCCTTTCACGCCCCCTGCCAGACTGGAGACTGCCGTGAACTCACCTCCCCATCTCGAGTCTCGATGGTTTTGATCAGCACTGTCTTCCTGGTGTGGGTCTCTACAGTTGGCTCCGGCTCTGAAACTACATGTGGCGGGGGGGGGGGGGGGAGAAGTTCAGGAGAGCGGGCAGAGCAGTGTCAAGACAAGCCTCCCCTGCACCCCGGGCCCAGGCCGAGCTGGGAAATGTCAGGAGGAATTAGAAGCAGGTGGGAGACAGAGACGGGGAGGTGCCTGCTTGCTTGTTTCCCAAAAAGAAGCCAAAGGCTAAGCTTAACCCAGCTGTGATGTGGGAAGATGACCAACCTGTGTGTTCCCTGCTAAGTCAGCCATAAATGAAAGAGGGGGAGCAGGAGGTGAGCACGAACACGCACGATTCCACCTGCAAACCGAGCTTTGTGTCTGCTCTCCCAGAAGCCCACATGAATACACATAGGCATACATGATGCTTTTCTAACGCTACCCACATAGGGAGCTCTAGCACTTACCTGCTGCTTTGATGCTGAGCGAGGCCATGGACTGCACAGGGACTGCAATCCTGCAGGGAACAGAGGACAGTGAGCTCTACAACAAGCTCCTGCAACGTACGCCCTGAACTTCCCCCGTAAAACTGCTGCTCCTCTTCCTGCCAGAGGGAGAAGCTGCCCCAATCCCCTGGCAAGGGGAAGGGCCGCACCATGCAGAGCTAGAGGGCTGCCTCTCCCAGCAAGCAGCAGGACGCCTGCAGCACCACCCTCCATTTCTGCTCGGCTTCCTGCCCCACATATATATTCGTGTTAATTTTTTAAAAACTCCGGCATTGGGGCATGCACTTCCATGCCCACTTTCACCATGCAACGTGAAGCGCTGGGCTCACAGGCACTCTCCATCTTCACTCCGTGTGTGTACATGCACATGTATGTCAGAGTGTGTATGACTGCATAAAAGGGTGAATTTGTATGTGTCTGAACATAGGAGAAAGGGCCACGGATGACCCTGAGAAAGGGAGATGTGGGTCTGTGTGGATGATCCTGTGAGAAAAAGTGTGCTTGTGTTTTGGTGAGGAAAGGGAAATGAACTGGCCAGCAGACACAGGCCCAGCTTATTGTGGCAGCTGAACCTGGAGAGGGGAGTTGTGGCCATGATTAACGTGCCACCACAAACCATAGGCTGTTTTAAGGGTGGGTTGTACAAAACCAGAAAGAGTTTGCTTTCTGTGAAATGACTGTTCTGTTTGAACAGAGAGTCAGATTCAAATTGTGCTTTTTGTTATGGGGCTCACTCTGCCCTGTAGTCCGTTATTTTGGCAAATTACTTATCTCTCAAGCTCACTATTTTGACTTCTCTGAAATGAGCATTTTCTGACCAGCAAGGCAGCCCTCCAAGGCAGCCATTTTGCGACAGTGCCCACAACGTTCTCAAAATTCCAGCTGTGGCTAAAGAATGGCTGAAGAACCCTCTAGAAGGGAATCCCTTCTCCCTCTGATTATGCACCTGCTCTCCTCCCCCTCCAGCAGCTTGCGGTAAGTAGCTATCTCAATGTCAAGGGCCATCTTGACATTCAGGAGGTCCTGGTACTCCCGCAGGTGGCGAGCCATCTCTTCCTTCATGTGCTGGATCTCCTGCTCCAGGCGTGACACTGTCTCCTGGTACGAGCCGATCTCCATCCCATACTGGTCTTCCAGATCCCGCATCTGCCTCAGCAAGGCTTCATTCTGGCAAGGCAAGCAGAACCATGGCTTAAATGTGAAAATCTTGGCCAGGGCCCAAGCACCTTTCCCAAAAGCCACAGACCCTAAGACCCTGCACCAAATTGGTGAGCTAGTTTCAGAGCTAATGCCTAGCTTCCAGAACAGGAAATGGATGCCACTTCCAAGTGTACAACACACTACATTACATTTTGGCTCCTTCAGCTGGGATTGCAAGATAGGCCCATAGGCCCTGTTATTTTTTTCTCCTTATCACTACCATATAGCCCATAAACTGAACTGATTATTGATTTGACCAAAATAAATTAAACTAAGATCAATAATTTAACAAATCACCTTTCATCAGATCATGAATAGTTCCATTTATTTCCTTTTTTTTTTTTTTTAAAGAAGCTCAAGTCTGTGTAATATGGTTCTTCCTGCCCCTCTTTTCTCCACAATCAGTGGTTAGGTGGAGACAAGAGTGGCAAGCCTAAAATCACTCAGTGAACTTCATGGCTAGGCGGGGATTTGAACCTGGGTCTCCCAGGCCTGAATCTAACCACTACATCACACTGGATCCCCAGCAGTTTGGCTTCCATCTACACATACTTACTAGAAATGTTCTTCATTAGGCACCCCAGCAGACCTCAGGCCCATGAGTAAAAAGAACAAAAAGGGTGGAAGAGTGGGAGGAATGAGCAATGTTTTTCAAATGCCCAATGGTGCTATTAGAATCTAGCTGTCGAGGCTGACGGCACACCATAATTATTCAAATAAAAGATCAGTAGTTTGTCATCAGTTGCCAAAAGAAGCCTAACATTTCTTCCACGTTTCCTGGAATGTTTCAGTATTAGACAAGAAGCTGTAATATTTGGAAAGGGAGCTGGATGCCCCGTTACAAACCTAAAGGACTAATACATTTGTACCACAGGGGGCAAGACTTCAGGCTGGTGAGTAGGGCAAATCTGGGCCTCTAGATCAGCCTTCCCCAACCTGGTGGCCTTCAGGGGCATTTTGACTGCAACTCCCAGAATTCCCATCCAGCAAGACCATTGACTGGGAATTCTGGGTGTTGCAGTCCAAACCTGTTTGGAAAGCACAAGGTTGGGGAAGGCTGCTATAGATGACTGAGACCCCCTTCCCCCAGCCAGCAATCAGCTGATGGCTTCCCAGGTTGTGTGCATTTCCCCTCATTCTAAATTTTGAAATGCCTCTTCTAAGGCTTAGTGACTGGCAGGAAGCCCTTTAAGCCAAACTAGGCTGGCATTTTTTGGCCCTGCTCCTTTTAGCCCCACCGACCCTGGCACCCAGCCCCAGAGAATTTCTCTGAAACGAAATTTGGCCCTCAGGTGGAAAGAGGTGGAACACCACTTCGTTACTGCAAGCTCCTGATGGGGAACTGCAAATATCTTCTGGGGCTGGGGGCTCACTGAGCCCGTGTCCAACCAGAGAGGGAGGTTTCCCTGCCATGGGTGACTTGAGATCAAAGTGGCGGCAAAGAGCTCAGCAGGGTGGGAGGCTGGGCAGCAGTCCCAAGGAAGGGGTGCCGGGCTCTGGGACACCGGCTGCCTTACTTACAGTCCCTTTGAGCCCATCCACCTCGCAGGTGAGGCTCTGGATCTGGCGGCGTGATTCATTCATCTCCTGCTTTGCCTGGCGAAGGGCCTCATGGTTCCGGTTGGCCGCATCGGACAAGTCAGCAAACTGCAAGAAATTGGGGGTGTCAGGAGAGGGGAAGGAACCCCAAAACAACCCACAACCCTGGCACTCTTCAGGCTCATCAAGAACAGTTCTCCCTCCCTCCCCTCTCCATGTGTGCGTGTGTGCTGATGATGTGAGTGCAAGACTGAGGAGGGATTCATGGCTCTCTCTAGAGGCTCTCCTCCTTAGGAGGGGTCACGTGTACTGTTCTGTCACCCAGGGAAGAGAGGAAGCATCCTGCAGGGGGGTAAAGGCTTTCTGCCCCCTTCCCACGCGAGACCCAGCATTACGCATTGGATGAAACCAGTATGCTCCCCAGCCACGTTTCCTCACACAAAGATCGCCAGAGATGCCTTTGCTATAAGGCAGGGGCATTTCCTCAAATGAATGAGGAAGGGGGGAAACAACTACCAACAGCCTTGGTTTGGCCAGCAAAGGCGGCCCAAGATTGTGAATCCCTGCATGCAGGAACACGGGGGGCATCAGACTCTTGGTCCATCTAGCCCAAGAATGTCGACTCTCCAGGGTCACAGGAAGAGGCTGCTGCTATCAAGTGCCTCTTGGTCTTTTTTAGTTGCCAGGCCCTGAACCAGGGACCTGCTTCATGCCAAGCATGTGCTTAGGTAGGCCTGGACTGACGGTTCCTCCTCAGGCTTGTGCCAGCTTCCTGTCAACCTGCATACCCCACACTTCCTTCAAGCAGCTCGGGGCATCTTGCACGGGGGTTGCACACATTTGTCCTCACAGCAGCCACATATGAAAGGCCAGACAGGAAATTTTGGGGCAGAGCAGAGGTTTGAGCCCAGGTCCAGCATCACTCATTAGTCTCCCAAATATAGGCCCCGCCCCCTCACCCCCTTGTGCTCGCACCCAATCGAAGCACCTTGGATTTGTACCACTCCTCAGACTCTTGCAGGTTCTTGACTGCGATGCTCTCATACTGGGTGCGGATCTCTCGCAGAGCAGCTGTCAGGTCCGGCTTGGCCTGCTCCACCTCCACCTGTACCTGCTGCTGGCTGTGGATGCTCACCTGCATATCATGCAGCTCCTGTGTATATCAGGCACACAGGTGAATGTGTCAGAGACATACAAGGGTGTGTCAGTCATGCGTTTGGCTGCACCAGGTAAGGAGACAGGCAAAAGAGGGAGGGCAAAACATACATTCTCCCTTCCTTAAGTGGATGCAGACCAACCCTATATAAGGCACGGCAGTATCACACACGGCAACGCAATTAGCACATAGAAGGCTGGCCTGTCAAGAGCCCACCCTGAAGGGCCACGGAGAAGAGGGGCATCACAAGCAGAGGCCGGCTAGAGGAAACATCAGGCAAAGGGAACAGTGAAAGTAGGTGGTGAGCGACCTTCAGAATCCTGGATGAAAGGGTGGAGCTAGCAGTGCCCCTGCATTTTTGCTGACTCCCACTAGATGGAGCACGAGCAATGTGGCTTCTGCAAGGTTCTCGGGCCATCAGAAATGTTAAACACTCTATTTCGCTCTCCCCACATCATCTCTCCTGAGACAGCAACATCCAGTTCTACCACCTCTTCTGCAGACCCTACCTTTCTTCCAAGGCTGCCACGTCACTGCCAGTTAGCTGGTGGAAAACATGCTGCTGTGGGGCAGATAGAGTGTCATCCCACAGCCTGAAGCCATCGGGAAAAGCAGCCGCAACAGCCAGAAAAAGTGGGACAAGTCAGTTTCAGAGGGTTCTTCTAGATATACAAACACCTCTGCACAGACCAACCAAGGCAACCATCTCTACAGCCAGGAGTTAGGAAGTTTCTTTTCAGACCACACCTCAGATGCCAGACCTACCTCCTCATGCAGTTTCTTGAGAAATTCAATTTCATCCATAAGGGATTCAATCTTGCGTTCAAGCTCCAGACGGGAAAGGGTGGCATCATCCACGTCCTGCGATATCAGGGAGGAGAAATTAAGTATGGTCAACCATAGCAAATAGCCTGTCCCTTTTGGCTGGAATTGCACTGGGGACAAAGAAAGACAAGGGAGAGAAGGCGAGATGCTCCTAGCCTTGAAGTCTCCAACACGGCGTCCAAGGGCACCAGAGTTCCTAGACCCCTCAGCTGGTGACCACCAGGCTCCTTGACTCTCCCAATTTGCATGTATTTCTTAAGATTTTATAAGTATTTTCCAGCCCTGCTGCAAAGCAAAGGGATGCCCTTCAAAACCATCTGTAGTTGGGTATACCAGAGAGGCTTTATGTTTTGGAGATCAGACCCCACCTATGCCTTGTGACCCTTATGTTCTTGGGCAAGGTAACTTTTATTTTAATGTTGCCTATTTGCCTTCTGAAATGGGTAGTTTTTGTCCAACCATGCTCACCATGGCAGCTGTTTTATGAACAGGCAAGTTTCATGCTCATGGCAGATATTTTGTCAGCATGTCCACAAGTTCTAAATTACATATGCCCACTAAGGCAAGCAGGTAAGAGAGCCCAGGCTGTCAAGAGGCTAAGGGGATGGAGCATGACTTCCTGGTTCAACACAATGGGGAGTAGATACAGCATTTAAGACTGAGGTCTCTCACCTTGACATCCAAGGGGCATGAGAGAAAAAAATGTGCAAGTGTGCACTCATCCATGTACAGAAGCAACAGCTAATAAGCATGCAAATGGCAGAATGTGCCAGAGGCCTGTAACTACACAAGCACAAGTGTGCAAGTGGGTGCACGAGAGCCAAAAGCACCACGCCCCTTGCTTTGCCTCACCTACAGGCACGCTCACCTTGCGGAACAGAACCAAGTTATTCTCCGCATCTTCACGCTTGTGCAATTCCTCATCCAGCCTGTAAAGGGCAGAGAATGGCAAAGAAGGACAGAAAGGCTTTTTACCAGCTGTACTCCCCACCTTTGATCTAAGCCGTGATCATGTTCTACCCTATTGCACAAACCCCAATGCCTCTTTCACTGTATTAGAAATACTGTTTCTGTCACTTCCTGCTCTTTGGACTCTCTTTACAGAGGGAAAACTAGATGAGAAAACAATCAGGCAGGTTTGCTACGCATCTGCCCTGATTCTCTGATATCTGACACAGCTGATTCTTAGCCCGTGTTCACAGAAGAGCAGGGATGCACCTCTGGCCATTCTGGTGTCCCCCACGCTGCACCCCTTCATGAGCCATCAATTGTTTTGCGGTTTCCTCCTTTTTCTGCAGCTTTTGCTTCATGCTGAAATGCTTCTCCTAAGGCTTAATTACTGGCAGGAAGAACTTTAAGCTAAAACGCACTGACATTTAAAAAAAACTTTTTGGTCCTGCCCATTTTGCTTTAAGATCTGCCCACCACTGAAATGCAGCCTCCAAGAGCTTCTTCAGAAGCAAATGTGGTCCTTGGATTGAAAGAGTTACCACACCCCCATAATGGGGTGTGTCAGATGAACTTTTCTAGCCACCGAAGATACATTTACTTTACGCTAAGAGTTATACAGAAAAGTAAATAAATCAAAGTCCTGCCCACAGATGCCAGGTAGTCAGGAGAAAGTAGTAAGTATCAGAAATGGGTCTGGGGAGATTTGGTTGGGAGGAGAAGCAGCAGATCCAGTGAAATTCAGATAATTCCATAAATGCTTTGCAGGCTTCAGTGCTGTTAAAACACAAAACCAAAATCCTCCCATGCCATGGTTTTCTGAAGGTTAATATCCTAGTTATCCACCACTGAAGTAAACATGAAGCCTGCTTTTTGCAAACTGTAGTCAGTGTGGCCATAGCCTTCTCTTCAGATACTTCCCTGGACTCTAAATAAAGCCCTGCCTCAGAAGATGGAAAGCCATGTCAGGAGATGCTTCACTTGGCATGTCTGAAGGGGACACACCCCATTTTGCTTCCCAGCTTCAGATCCTTCTGCTGATCTGTCTCCTTCTCCTCCACCCCCAACCCCAATCTGCCATTACATGATCTATGCCAAGATGCGGAAACTCAAACCCCACCCCACAGTGCCTTGGGGAATGCAGTCTCTGCTCTTCTTTAAAAGGATGAAGGAAGGAAGGAAAAATGGAGAGCACCACTGCATGCCTGGAAGGTATTATCTCCTGTGGTGGAACAGTCTCCTGTGAGCCAGCTGGGCCCCTGATGGGCTACATGCCCCTTTCCATGAAGACACTGCTGCATGTACCCCACCCATGTTGGCCTCCAGATCACATGGCCGCATGCCAACTCAGATGACTTCTGCTGTGCCGTTGCGCAGCAAACTCACAGACAGCTCTTCAGCTAAAGCAGCCTGCCCCACCCCCAGATGCACTGGACTACACAGCCAGCTCTGGGATGAGGGGAGTTGTGGTCCAACACACCTGGGGACAGCCAGTTGGGGAAGGCTGGACTAAAGGGTTTCACACTAAGCTCCACCAATGGCCGCACCCTTCTTGTCTGCCTGGTCCATGGATGCAACAGGACCAAAGAAGGAGGGTCCAAAGTGTGTCAGAAGTTCATCCCTCCTGCCATTCTCCACAGCTCTTCTGGTTCTTTCCAGCTACCATTCTCTACTACCCAACCCCATATAATCAACTCACCCACCTCTCTTCTGAATCTGCCAAGATCCCTTGTCTTTCTGCCCTTCCACAGCCATCCCCACGTGATACTTGCTGTACTCACCCCATTATTGGAGTACCATCCCTGCCACACCCTTTTCATACTAACAGCTTATCCCAAGGGTCAGTCAGGAATGATGTCTCTTCTACATGTGGTAACACCCTAGGGATTCTGTCTAGAAGTCCTACATCTCTCTGGCCAGCTTTTGACTCTCTGCATGTTTAAGAACTTATTCCCCCTTAAAGTTCGGGATAGAACAGTTTCCTGTTCACTCTCTGTCCAGCATTCTACAAAGAATTTCTCAAGGATGGCTTCTAGCAATATCAAGGAAGTATACTGGTACAGTCATTCTATCTTCACTTTTGTATCAGATTTTCTGTGGTAAAAGAATAGAAAGGATGGGGAAACATGGGAGCTCTTATTGTCTGGATCAACCATAAAAATCTTTAAAAAAAAAGCAGAGCAATGGCACTATGAAACCCTCTTCTGGAAACACCCACAATATCTACTGGAAAAGATGTTGCACTGCACTGAAAAAGTCCTTCCAGTGCAGGAAGACATTTCAAAAATACTGACTCTCAGCTGCCTCTACTCAAAACACCTCTCTAATTCCAGAGTTCAAGTTAATGCCTCAAGCCCCCAACTTAGGCACTTATGCAGCAGAATTCTGCAAGTGTTTACGCAGAAGAAAGTAGTAGTGTATTCTGTGCGATTTAGTGCTGTAGAAGGCGTGACTGATTGCAGCCTTAATCATCATTCAGTCACAGACTCTTCCTCAGCATTAGGTGTAGGGCTGGGCATACAGGGGATCCCGGAGTTACTGTGATGCAGCCATTAAATCCTTTCTTGGGACTAGGGAGAAATATGGGCTCCAGGGCCAGTACTTTCCTCCATCACTACTAAAAGGGCTAACATGCAAGAGAAAAACTGTTCTTTGGTTTAACAATAATAGCAATGAGATTTTGTATATATGCTGCTCTAGTTTCAGATTGAGGTATGCAAACACACAGATTTAATTGGCTCATATTTGCTTATTAATCATGTTACAGGGCAAGAAACATTTATGCATTTATGCTTATTTTTAATCTTATTTTCCAGTTTTGTTCCTGGGGAGAACTACATAGAGGCCAGAAGATCCTAACTCTCCTCAGTATCTAACTGAATCCGCCCATTACTAGAGTGCCTGGCAGAACACGGATTGGGGGGTGCGGGGCGGCTCAGCGCTCTGCTGTACTCAATGAATTGACACTCTCTTCTTTCTGGTTCAGCACCAGCTACACCTTGCGGTCACCAGAAACCCCACTATCTGCTGTTACTCCCAGCTAAGCCTCTCCTTCTCTGCAGAAGCTGGTCTATTTCTATTGGGAGTCTATTTCTTTAAAAAGGATGCTAGAACTTAAGCAAAGCCGGCCTAGAGATCCGTCTCTCTATTCTCGAACTAAGCGGACTTGCAGAGATTGCCGAGTCACGCTCAGAGAAAGGTAATGTTCGGGGTCGTCCTCTACTTCTGCCCCGGCAATCAGCTTTGGCATTCAAAAAGGAGGAACTCACTCAAATTAGGCTCCGATTTAAAGAGAAGGGATTCTTTCCCTAGCTCAACTCTCTTGGGCCCTTCTCACCACCCAAATTTAGAGCTCTAGAACGGAGGAATCCGCGCTTCCGCAGCTATTGCCGCGACCGAGCCAGCCAGCCTTTTAAAACCGGCTACAAGAGCAGCCCAAAGTTCTCCCTCGTTCCCGCCCAGATCCCAGGATCAGTTATCTCGATTTCCCTGCTCATCCCCAGGGAAGAACCCGGCCCGGTTCACCTCTGCTTGAGGGCGGCCAAGTCCTCGGCCAGGTTGTCCCTCTCGACCTGCAGCCGGTCGCGGTCCTTGCCCAGCGCGTCCACCTGCCGGCGCAGCTCGCGGAGTTCGTCCTGGAAGAGGTCGCCGGCGCGGGTGGGCTCCTGGGAGCGCGCCTGGCCCAGCTCGGCCAGCAGGGCGGCGTTCTGCGTCTCCAAGTAGCGCACTTTCTCGATGAAGCTGGCGAAGCGGTCGTTGAGCTCCTGCAGCTCCTGCTTCTCGTTGCTCCGCGTGGCCAGGAACTCCTGGTTCAGGGCGTCGGCCACCGAGAAGTCCAGCTTCTCGGCGCTGCTGTAGGTGTAGCGCGACGACGGCGCCACCGGTGTGCTGGAGCGCAATAGCAGGGGCCCGCCGCCTCCGCCGCGGTAGGAGCGCAGGGAGCCCCCCAGCGAGGACGCGCTCAGCAGCCTCGTGGCGGAGGAGGACGAGGCCAGGCGGGACGACGAGTACGACACCGGCGACAGCATGGGGGGCGGCCCGAAGGTGCGGCGGTAGGAGGTGGCGCGGATGGTGCTGGAGTGGCTCATGGCGGAGGCCGGCGAGCGAGGGCGCGCGTGGAGAGGGCGGGCTGGGCACTGGCCGGCCGGTCAGGGGCTCGGGGACAGGTCCAAGAAGTTCCTGGCGGGGAGAAGGAGGCGCCGGCTCCGCTGGTGCCGCTTTATACCCGGCCGGCTCCTAGATGGGAGGGGGCGGCGGCAGGCTCCGCCTCTTCTGGATGCGGCCCAGAGCCCCGCAATGCAGCCCCACCGGCTGGGAAAGGGACCCACCCAACCCAGGCTTCCTGCGAGGATGCTCCGCTCGGGCCTGGAGGAGACGCAGGAGGCCTGCCCCGTGCTTAGGCGAAGCGAGCGCTGCTCATTTTGCGGCGAGGGATCGCGCGCTGTCCATCCCCCACACCCGGTGCATGTTTCTTCCGAAGTAAGTCCCACGCCATTCAACAGTGATGAAGCTTACGAATGTCTTAGAGACCACCCTCAGGCTGCAAGCCTACCTTAGTCAAACTTAAGTCCCATTAATTTCAATGGGTCCATTCTAAGTAGACTGACATTGGCTGCAACTCTTAGGCACCGGCCTTTGATCGTCAAGGCCGAGATCCTTCGATTTGAGCTCGCTGGGAATCCGTCGAGTGAGAGTTATGTAATTCTTGCAGAACGGGGAGGTGGGAGGAAGGCCGGGGTGATGGAGAGCAGGGATTGTAGTCAGTGTCAGTCCTACTTAGGAACAGGCCCATTGAAATGAATGGGACTTAGTTTAGGCTAACCTTGCATAGAACCCTTAATTTTCCACTCAGTTGTGGCAACAAAAACTGGAGGGGGGCAACTAGTATGTTAGGATGTGTTGGCGGCAGCAGATCCCTGCTAGGCAAGACCTGTATTTGAGGCAGAAAAGCATTAGCACCGCCACCGCATTGTACACAAGCAGGAAAATTAATTTTACATGGAAACTTAAACTCACTTATTTCCTTTATCTAAGCATGGGGCATCCCAATTGATATTTATTCCTAAGGGAAAAATAAGAGGTCTGTTTCCTAAAGCGTTGGGATGTAATCCTCATGTTGGATAAGGGGGGCTTCTTGCCTGGAATGGGGAATGGCATGTTCCAAGAATGAAATCTAAGGTGCAAAGAGAAAAGAAGGGCTTGTGCATCATAACTAGTTGGAAAAGAACAACCCCAGAAGAAATCTTCCCTCAGCCTTTTGCTGTTGCTGTTCACTCTAGTTTCCTAGGAAAGGGGATAAACAAGAGTGCAAACTCTTCTAGCGTAAGACCTTTCACCCAGAGAATCCTAACCATCTAACATTGTTCTAAAACCTTTGATAACACTCTGCATTTTACCAATTTCTACATCAGAAGCAGGAGAGAGACAGAGAAATGCAAGGGCGATTCCTCAGTACCTCAGATGAGGTACATTTGTAAAGATGCTTGTCTGTCTGGCAAACATGAAACTATTGGGCATGCATATGTATTTGCAAACCAAAAATGCAAGTCAGCCTAACAAAACTCACACACTGATTTGCATACTGATTATAAAAGCCTCCTGTGCCCCACCTCACTGGCTGCACAGAAAAAAGTTCAGGTGCAGGGACATGGGTGTTGTTGGCACACCATCCTCTGAGATGCATCCTCCCACCTGCTCATCATATGCACATCAGCGCATGATTGTGTATTGCTCTAAGGAGCAACCACACCACAGCCAACAGAGAGTAATGTTTCTGATCTGAAGAGCTGCCTGTAGAAGCCTTTGCCTGAAACTGCTGCTCCCCACTTTACCAACAGTCTTTGATACCAACTGCTTCTTCCAGCAAATTGTGTGTGTGTATGAGACAGACAGACAGACACTGAGTGTACAAACATGCACATTAATGTTTCTGGCTCCCAGCTCTTCTTTCCTGGCATTCTCTCTATTTCTTTCCCCTCCAACCTGTTAATGTCTAAGAGTGCATCCTGGGGAAAAAGTCCAACAACCCCAGCATTTCTCAGAGAGCCAAAGGACTGCATGCTAGATCTATCTGTTCCTGCCACTTTATTCATTTATTATTTAATTCCATTTCCATGCCACCCCATAACCCAAAGGCTCTCTCTGTAGCGCACTCTCTGAAGATCGGACTGTGCTTCCGCCTCCTCCACTGCCTCTTTTTCTTCCCTGGTGTTCTTTTGGATAGATGGAGAAAAAGAACAAATCTTGAACACATGTGGTGCAGGCAGAACAATTTTGTCATCGCTGCTAATAAGCTGCAGGGGAAAAAAAAGATCTCAAGGCAACTTAACGATAAACAAAGGGCTGAGGAAAAAACCAAGGTTACAGGCTTGGAGTGGGAAGGGAGAGAAAACAAAGGTGAAAGAATTGTGAGGGTGGAAGAACGCTAGACAGAACAAGGAAGCAACTCTTTCTACTTTCCCTGCCCACAGAACAGCTCAACAGTGGCAACTTCAGCGGAGGAGGAGGAGGAGATAAAAATCCTGGCACCCTAAGACCTAAAGGGGGCTAGGAGAAAAGAGCTTTGCAGGTGTGGCTAGAAACCCCCAAGGAGGACTTGGTGCCTGTAGCTGCCTCCTTGGAGACTGTAGGAGTAAAGTATCATTAGAAGCTTTAGAACCTCTTTCTTTTCTCTTTTTCTCTCCCTTCCCGTCCCTTCCTTCTTCCTTCCTTTCTGGCAAACCCTCTAAAGTGGTCTCACAACCCATCTCTGGGTCCCTACCCACTAGTTGGAGACCTCTGCTCTAACCAGTAGTCCACAGGCGATGAAATTCTGTTTCCTATTGTACAACCAATTGAGAACAATAGCGCAAGTAGATCATAATCATATCTATTTTTCAGACTAATGGTCTCCCTTTCTTTCTGCTCTCATTACTGATTGATATTAGGAATAAGATTGAACCAAGGTTTGAGAGAGAAATTTTATTAAAGCAATTTGCACACCAACATTAAAGAAATTTTAGATAAACTTTCTGGGGCTGATGGTAGGAATGTGTCTTATCAGGGCAATTGTAGAACAAGCTGGATAATCAGCTTGGCAAGGGCTGCCTGCAACCTCTGTTGCTCTTATCAACTAATGGAGCTTAGCAAAAAAGAAATAACCCAAGAGATCTGATCCTTCTTTACCAGCAGAAAGTGCAGCACCCCAAGAGCCAGCCAGCATTAAAAGACAAGCAAAAAATTAAACCTTACCCTCACTGTTACTCGAGTTTCTATATTATTCCCTTGCTGCTCAAGTCAAAAAGAGATCCTCCTCAGCCACAGCTTATGCAGTAGACCAAGGCAGACTTCCCTTAAGATAGACTTGTCCCCTTTGTGGCTGCTGTCTTTATCACATGGTTTAGAATCTTATGCCTGTGTCTGTAGTTGAGGTTGGTGGTACCTTCTGGCTGGATTTGGGGGCAGAACTCTGCGACTGCACCCCAGAGTGAGTTAGGGGTTTCCCCCAAGCACAGCGTTCTAAAGTAAGTAGAATATACATTACCATCTAAAGAGCATCTTGCCCCCATAAGTTCAGAATCTAAAATCATCTAACTGCACTACTTGTTGGAGTGGTTTTCTGTATGGCTGCAGTGCCATGATGTAACAGCCAGCAGGTGGAGTACCTGAAATGGCCTCCGTGCTGTGTAACATGCAAATTAGCTCTAAAATAAGAATGCAGCATATAACTGTAATAACAGGGTATTCATCTAAGCGTGATCTTTGATGGCGGTTTTCACCACTGCCACGTTGTAATTGCACGCTGTGGGAATCGGCCAGCGATCTGTAGTTCTGTAACCCCAGGAGTGAGAGGTGGATGAGGTGTCTAGGGAACGAGGACAAGAAGAAGCCGAGGACAAGAAGAAGCCGATGGGATACTGTGCATTGGACCAGTGGGGGAAGTGGCTGTGTCAGCAATGCATCAACTTTGGACGAGGGGACTAGGCAGATCCCTAAGGATAAGTCATGCTGGCAATATCCCGAGAATGTCCCAAGATGTTCTGTAGGGGACGGGACAGAAGAGCTTTTAATTGATTGATTGATTGATTGATTGATAGCCTCTAGTATCAGAGGTTGGATGCTTCCCAATACCAGTTGTTGGAGGGTGTTACTGCAGTCCTGTCCAAATTGTAGACTCTCCAGAGGCAGGTTGGTGGCCACTGTTGGAGAAGAATGCTGGACTGAGTGGGCATTTGGTCTGACTCATCAGTGATGATCTTAGACTCCAACGATCCCCCCCCCCCTTCCTCCCTGCTTCTGTGTTTCGGCTGTAAAACAGGCACTAGGAATGACCTACTGATTTGAAGATTAGTGAGATAATTACTGTAAAGCTCTCAGAAAATGTTTTCGGCATGATAAATAAAACACAATGACTATAACACAGAGCTTGCAGGGACAGATCAGAAAGAGTTTGGCTAATTCTGTTTTCTCTCCCAGGAAGTGATTTGAGATGTAGTTCAAAATGAGCATTTATTATTTTTATAGATCGCATTACTGCTATCCACAGTGCCTCTTTGCAGAATAACAAACCAAGACAGACTTCTATCCTGAGGAGTTTTCAATTTATTTTTTATGAGGTGAGGAGAAAGAGGACAGAAAATTGGAGCACAAACAGACAGAGGCAACAGGGAACGAATGTATACAAATCACATTGTACTTTCTCTAAGGCAGTTCTTCCCCCAACTTGGTGCTCTCAAAGCCCTTTATTCCCAGACTAGGAATGGTGGAAGTGAGGGTCTAACACACCTGAAGAGCACTAGGTTTGGGAAGGGGTGGAGGATTGGGTGGTTAGGCTACAGGAACAAGGTACATTTTCATGAGGTTCAAAAGGTGGTGCCCGGCTCTAGCTGCATCAGACTCTGAGCTAGGCAAATACAGGGATGACTCCAATAGACCAGTTGAGTAACCAGGCAATAGACAGGAGCAAAAGTTTCAGTCCCATATGAGAACAGACTAAGAGGGACAGTAGCAGGGAGGTTCCATAACCAAGGGAAAGCAGTTTAAAAAGCAACCTCAACCTCAGAGGTGGGACTCCCCTCATACTGCAGGCACAGCCCCTAATGGTTCAAGC